GAGATTTTAACTGGGTGGCAAGAAAGGAGGGAGGAAGTGGGAAATATCCAGAAATGATCACCACATAAATGAAAGACATCAAGGATGTGGAGCAGAGAGCAGAGGAAAAGCTACTGGCCTTTGATTTTATACCCCAAATCCTTATCACCTGATCCATCCTACCTTCATGATCTTGGGCAAATCACTGAACTTTCTGAGGCCTCAGCTTCCCAAAAGTGAGGACTGGGCCTCTGGGGTCTCTCCTCTCTAGATCTGTGATCCCATGAATAAACCATTTCCAAAACAAACACACAAAACCTGAAGTAGCTACCTATCAACTGGAGAATAGCCAGTAAGTAGTGGTTCATGGATAGGACAGATCACTACTGTTACCCATAAAATGAAGTGAGGGAGTCAGAGAAATGCTAGAGGACTTGATGCCTCTGAATTGAAGCTGAGGGATGTGAATGGGAACAAGAGTGACAGGGAAACCCATCCCATCTCTGATCAATGTGATGACCAATCTGGGCCCCAGCCCATTACACACACTGGACTTCTCAGGCATGAGTTAGGAGGCTGAGAGGGTGGTATGTCACCTGCAACACCAGACCTGACCACTTTGGCAGTCAGCTTCTCCTAAATGGTCTTTGATGCAAGAAAAGGTTCATAACTGAGATATTGGGAAAGGGCCATTCCATTTTGAGAGAGAGAAAAGGGAAGGGGAGAGGAGGGGAGTGAAGGGAAGGGAAGGGAAGGGAAGGAAAGGGAAGGACAGAAAGAAGGAGGAAGGGAGGGGGGGAGGGAGGGAGGAAGGAAGGAAGGAAGGAAGGAAGGAAGGAAGGAAGGAAGGAAGGAAGGAAGGAAGAGAAGAAAAGAAGAGAAAAAGAAACAAAACTTGAAGAAAGTTTCCTTTGACTAGAGTGAGAAGGCTTAGTGTGAAATTGAGCTTCCTCCTATCAGAATGTCATAATTCACAAAATTTCATTTCAGGATGTTCCAGGGACACTTCTCACTCATCTGCAAACCTTTGCTGAAAGGAAGCCTTTTCCACTCCTTTTGTCCAAACTCCATCCACCTTTGGACAGGAGATCTTCCTACAAAAAAGTGAAGATTCTATCTTAGGCTCTCGTGCATGAAACAAGTGAGTAGAACCTTCCCAATACCTGAGACTGCATGCAGAGGTCTGTTGGTCAGCAGAAATGTTCTCTCTCTTTCTTTCTTTCTCTCTCTCTGTCTCTGTCTCTGTGTGTGTCTCTCTTTCCTTCACCTCCTCCTCCTCCCTTTCCCCTTCTCTCTTTCCCTCTCCCTCTCCTTCCTTCCTCATTTTAAAAAAGAGTTCACAGTGTTTCCTTAGGCTCTGAGTCCTCACTTCATTGAGTTTAAATTGTAATGTTTGTTAACAGGGACAGAGAAGGGAGAGGCAGCTCAGTGTAGTGGGAGGAGCTTCATCCTTGGAGGCAAGGAACAAAGTCTGGGTCTCAGCTCTGTTCCTTCCTGGCTGGGGGCCATGGTCACTGCCCTCCAGGCCTCATTAGTACAGATGCAGTCCCCAGGAGAACTTGAGAAAGCTTGAGACACTGCACTGGTTTGGAGGCAAAGGCCCATTTCTCTGCTCCCTCCCACCAGTGTGACTTTGAGTGGGTTACAGAAACGCTCCAGGCCTCATCTGTAAATCACTTAGCTTCTCTGGAGGACCACCACCAGTTGGTCTGAGGGCATGGGACAAGATGAGGCCTCAGGTCTTTCCCAGCTTGCCACTGCTAATAGTGCATAGAAACCCCTCAACAGACCGGAGTGCTCCCTTTGGTGGGCACAGCCCGGCAGCTGGAAGCATTATCTCAATGCCTATGTCACGACGCTCCACAGTGACTGAATCCTGATATCTCCCATGACAGCTGTCAGACTCTGAATTCTTCCTCAATCCACTGGGCTCGTGATTTTAAAGACAACAGCAGTTCCAAATGAAACCGACCAGCTACTTGTCTTCTGTCCACTGAGGACCTAGCATGGGAAGACCCTTAGGCATACATATGTGATCAGTGATACATAAAGTAGAGACTGAGGGCATGGTGACTTGGAGAGCGTCTCCTTCAGGGTGCTCCTTGTCCTGGGCCCAAATTGCTGAAGTCAGTTTCCCAAGACCGTTGGAGGCCCTGTTCAGACACATGGCCTGACTGCAAAGTTAGTGAATGCTCCTGCTTCCTCCCCATATTGCTATCTAAATGACTGTGTTAGGCTGCATTTGTTGCTACTTGGCTTAATTGTGTTTGGGGGAGCTTTTAGAGTAACAGGAAAGGATGAGGTCAGAGGGAGTCAAGTAGTCATGTCAGGAAAACTGCACAGACGGTTACCAAAAATACATTTCTAGTCATTTACAAAGTAGGAAGCATTTCTTAGGCATCTACTATGAACTGTTTGAGATGCCTGAGATCCCAAAACAGAAAAGTGACCCAGCCCAGTCCCCCTTCCTTCTGTTATATAAGTAACAGCTCTTATATTCTGCGTAGCATGGAGAGCAGAAATTTAGAGCCAGGAAAGGTCCTCTGGAGCAGCTTTCATTGGACAGATGAAGAAAGTAAGAGTCAGGGCAGCCCAGTGACTTGCCCCAGGAGGCAGATCTTCTGTTCCTAGCCCAGGCCCCAAGATTCCAAATGCAGCCCTCTGCACTGCATGAATCTCTTGATGTTTTCTCTATGTTAGCAGCAAAAGCATCTAAACTATTTGAAGGTTGTGGTTAAACCACTGGGTTATTAGTAATAATGACAATACTTTGAAATGTGCAAAGAATTGTAGATATTCCTAGAGTCAAATATTCGGAGCTGGAAAGGGCCATCACCTGGTCCAGGAGTTCTGAACTTTTTTTATTTCATAGACCTCTTGGGCAATCTAGCGATGACAGGGACCATTTCTCAGGTGCTTACAAGCAAGTGTGGTTGTTTGCGTGTGTGTGTGTGTGTGTGTGTGTGTGTGTGTGTGTTTAAATTTGCGATTGAAGGATTTGCTAAATCAGTTAGATGGTAGTAAAAATTAAAATGTATTTTTTTTCTATCCAAGTTCATAGATTCTTTGACAACCTCATTTTATAGACAAGGAGAGATTGAAAACCAAGAAGCTTAAGTGACTTGTCCAAGGTCACACAGTTACTAAGAGTGATAATAAGACCAACTCACATGTGATAATAAGACAAATCCTGGTCAAATTCTTCAATTTAATCTTCACATCCACCTCTGAGGAGGAGGACGGCAGACATTCTGACCCTGATTTTACAGAGGAGGAAACTGAGGAGGAGAGAGATGAAGGACTTTCCTCTGGTTGCATTGCTAGTATGCTAAGGGTCAGAATAAATCTGAACGCTTCTCTTTCCACCAAACTTAGTTTGTCTTTGGAACACAATGTGGCACCTGGTCAGGGAGGGGGATTCGGCCCTGCGGTCATCAGTTTATAGAATTCCATGGAGGTCGTTCATGTGCAAGGAAGCAAACAAGCATTGATTAAGCACCGGGCGAGGCACTGTGTCTAAATAAAATGCCACAGAGGTTGCTCTCTGATTTTTCTTTTTAAAAAGTATGTATTTAGCTTAGAATAGCAACTAAAATACACACCCAAGGATCACTTCTAAAATATAAATAATATAAATTCACGGTTTTAGATACTATCCTCTTTTTGGGTTCTTTGTATATGGAACGTTTGTGATTGTGAATTTCAAATTAAAAAGGAAAAGAAGATGGAAAAGAAAGAAGGAGCAGGCGGGTTGGTGTTCGGGTTCAGTGGCCTGGGGGGCTAAGTGCCCTCCCTCTCTGTGTGGCTGCAGCAGCTCAGCTAGAGCCCCTTGAGCCCCTGCCCGAGCAGATGCCTCTCCCCTATCCCACCCCAGGCAGGTCGTTAGGGCAGTGGAGGGTGTCCTGAGATGTGGCTACCCTTAGGAAACTGCACCTGTCTGAGTCCGTCTGAGATAGCTCAGATCACAGAGGAAAGGGGAAGGGGGGTCCCAAGGAAGGGGGGGCGCTCTATGCAAGTGTTTGGAGCTCTCAGGCAGGGAGGGGCTTCATAAACAGAAGGGGCTTCTCTGGCCCAGACTCCCAGGCCGGTGACTGATAGTGGTCCAGCCCAAATCCCACTTCCACCAGGAGGAACCGTTCTGGACCGTCTGAGGACGGCCGGGCCCGAGGCCTCCCAGTTGTCTGAGCTCCTGTCGCCTGGTTTCACTGGTAGGAGGTGCCCTCCTATCCCTACTGCGGGGTTGAAACGAGCCCAAAACGTGCAGCACTGGGAGTGATAAATCTAGACGAGAGTCAGAGGCAGTCGTGGATTCGACTCCTACCTCTGACGGCTATTAATCTTGATTAGAGCTAAGTTTTTCGTGGGGAATGATAGCGTCGATATTGGGTTGTCGCTAACGACGGACAATAATAACCGCCACATCATCGGAGGGTGGCTGAGAGGAGCAAATAAAATAAGAAAGCCTGTAGTTTGTGTCCTGCCGAGTCGGAGGACCGGGGGCTCAGGTCTTCGCTTTGACGCGCACTGGGAGGCAAATCCGGCCCTTAACCTTCTCCGTGCGCGAAATGAGGGGGCTGGGCCTTTGAGGTCTCTCCCAGCTCTGGATCTCCGACCCCAAGTCCCTTCACCAACCTGAGAGCCGGGTCCATATTTGTGCTCGTTGTTGCTTCTTACAGTGTGAATTGGAAGCCAAAAAAAGTGTCTTGGGTTCTGAGAATGCCACACAGCTTAAAACATAGGGGGTTGCCAGTTGGCGTAAGAGTACCTACACCCCCCCCATAAAGGACAACTGATCATCCTGTGCTCCCCTCTTCAAGAAGAGGGTGATGAGACCTCCTCCCCCAATCCTTCTGTCCCAGTGAATGATCCATAGACACCCCCTGCCACCCCCCATCCCCCCCCACCCTTTGCCAGGATCCCCTCCCTCCCCATACCTTCATACTTATTCATACCGGCCTCTACCCAGTCGCGCACACTCATGCGTCCCCGGCCCCACCTCCCCCTTCCCAGTTAGGACCTACCAACAAGGGGGACCAGCAGGCGGAGAGGACGCACATGATTCCCATGAGCTGGATGACCGTCTCGGTGGTGATCCTGCCCCACTGGGCGCCCGCCTGGGCGGCCGTGGCCTTGGCCCGGCAGCGGGACACCAGCGCCTTGATGGTGGCCAGGTTGCAGACGAAGGTGACCGCCAGCGCCGTGAGCCCCAAGAAGGCGAAAGCGGAGGCGAAGAAGGCGTTGCCGCGGCTGGGAGCCGAGCCGGTCCGGTTGGCGCCGCGCTCGCTGGTGCTGATGAAGCACCAGGTCCCGGGCCACTGCACGGTGTAGTGGCCCACGCCGGCCACGGGCAGCAGGGCGAAGGCGAGCCCCGCCAGCCAGACGGCCAGCAGCACGGTCCGGGTGGCCCGCGTCTTCATGTGGCTGGCGTACCAGTGCGGCGCGCGGATGGCCAGCGCCCGCTCGACGGCCATGGCACTGGCGATGAAGAGGGGGCAGAGGCCGAACGTGGTCATGCTGAGTCCGAAGAAGGAGCACAGGCGGCCCGACGGGTCAAGCTGCTGCCAGGGCCGCTTGGACAGGTAGACGGCGATGACCACTGGGCTGGTGAGCAGCTGGCCCACCAGGTCGGTGAGCGCCAGGCCGCCGATGCACAGCAGGAAGGATTTCTTACGCTTGCTCTCCTTGCGACGGTAGCTGCGGGCCACGAGCAGCATGGCGAGCGCGTTGCCCACGACGCCCGTGATCATCATGGCGAGCGGGTAGGCTACCGACACGGAGCCGCACTGCTCGGCGGGCCGCCAGCCCGTGCCGTTGCCCTCCGGCGACGCGGCCGGCTCGGACCCCGACATGCCCGGGTACGAGCGGGACAGGCGGCTGCACAAAGGGGGGAGCCCAGGGGCCACCGTGCCGCCCGCCGCCTCCTTCATGTCGCCTTCGTGGCCGGCAGCAGCCTCAGCAGGGGCAAGGACAGCCGTCCGTGGACGCGCAGCAGAGGGAGGCTGGCGGCGGCCGCTGCCGGGGCTCTTCTGCCAGCCATGGTGCCTAGCGCCGCCGCCTCCCCGGCTCCCCCGCTGCTAGCTCGCCGCCGCCTGGGCGCTCTGCTGGGCGGCCACACCGGCCGCTCGGTCAAGGGCGCCGCGCCGTCCGCGCGCACCCCGCGCGCCCGCCCTCCGGCTCCCGCGGAGAAGCCCGAATGCGGCCCCCGCCTTTCTATAAGGCCGAAGGGGGCGGGGCGCCCCAGAACGCAGGGGAGGAGGCGGCCCCTCGGACTCCGCGCCCCTTGGCAGCTGGCTAGCGGGCTGCTAGTGCACTGGGGGAGAGGATTCCCCGAGGACTCCCCTCGGCCAGAGAGCCCACCAGCCCCAGCTCTGCTTCCCCTGCTACCCTGCGCTGCTCAGGCTTCCATGCTCTCTCTCTCTCTCTCTCTCTCTCTCTCTCTCGGGCGCTCCCTACAGCACCCGGGGGCCCCGAGATTCTTCCACTGCGCATCTAAGCCTGGGGAAGAGGGGAGCCGGCGAGCCGAGCCTCATCCCCCGATCCCCTTCTCCTCCGCTGCCTCCTGCCTCTGCTGTAGATACAATGATGTCGCCTCCTGGGGAGGTGGAGAAGAGAAGATTCTCTTTGGGAGATGGCGTGGGGAGGCACCATTCGCCTGCCTAGAGACGTGGAGAGGACTAGGCTGGGGCCCGAAGGGGCACGAGGCAGATTCGCTAGCCCGGGCTGAAGTGTGGGCGACACTCCCCTGTTCCCACCAGAAAGGAATAGATGGGAGGCTTTGGTGCAAGTGGAAATGGGAGATCCTGTGTGGAACCAGCCTGGATGGACCAGCATGTCTGCAGGTGGAAAATCCTGCCAAGAGGATCGGAGGGGGACAGGGGGAGGAGGAGAGCAGCCCTTCATTCTGATGTGGCCTCAGAGCCGTGTATTTCAATCTCCTGCTTTTACAGATAACAATATTAACTGACATGCGCCTAGCCCTTTAAGGTTTGCAAAGAGCTTTACGATGTCACCTCACTTTATCCTCACAACAACCTTAAAAGTTAGATGCTGTTATTTCCACCATTTTACAGATAAGAAAACTGAGGCAAACAGAGGTTAAATGACTTGCCCGGGGTCACACAGCTGGTGTCTGAGGCAAGATTTGAAATCAGATGTTCCTGACTTCAAGTCCATCTCTTTATGCACTGAGCCACCTAGTAACTTACAGATGAAGAAACTGAGGCCCAGAGACTTGCCCAAAGTCACATACTTAGTGTGTGAGGAGAGATTTGAACCGAGATCCTCTCCTATTTCATTTTCCTTAGTGTCCTAAACAATGTGAGGAGCTTCAAGTTTCAAAACCTGTATCCCCTCCATGTAGACTTCCGAAACATTGTCTCGTTGGAAGCAACGCTCCCAGTCTGTCGAGCTAGGGAGAACACAATTGGAATCTTCCTTAGGTAGCACAAGGCATTAAAGAAGCAGGAGTACTTTAGAGTACCTTCCAAAGCTCAGTTGTCTTCACATGGTAGAGAGGAGAAAGATAATCACAATAGCAGAGATTTGGAGCCAGAATGAGCCTTAGAGATTTCTCCTCAAACTCTTTCATTTTACAGGAGAAGTGCCCAATGTCATTCAGGTAAAAAGTGGCAGAGCTGGGATTTGAACACCACGTCCTTGGATTCCAAAACTGCCTCTCTTTCCAGTTTTGTGGTTGTTGTGCAGTGGCGACCACTCTTCCCTGACTCCATTGGGGGTTTCCTTGGCAGAGATGCTGGAGTAGTTTGCCATTTTCTTCTCCAGTTCATTTGACAGATCAGAAAACTGAGGCAGAGTTGTGGCTTGCCCAGAGACTCGAGGCTAGTGTCTGAGGCTGAATTTGAACCCAGATCTTCCTGACTCCAGGCCCATCACTCTATTCTTTCCAGCTATGTGGGGTTCATTGTTTCTACCTCTAGCCAAGTCTGCTTGAATGATTGCCTCTTTTAAGCAGATTAGTTTCCTATTTAGATGTAAAGAGTGGTTCCTGAGAAGACCCAAATTGCTTTCCCCCTGATGCTGCCCATCGGACTCTTCGTTCCTGCCCCACAGCCTTTGCTTAGTGTCACACATACCTAGCCTGACCGACAGCTGATCATTGGTGGCCAGTCATTTTTCAGAGGGAAGGAGAAAGCCCACAAAGTTAAGCTTTGACTTCCGTCCTGCAGCTGCCTTAAATCAGAGCCCACCCGTAATGTTATCTTTTTTGCCTGGCTGTCTGGGGACTTCGTCACACTAGCCTGTGTCGATTCTCAGTTTTTCTTTGTTGTGGTGCCAAGTTTGGCAGGGAAATGAAAATGGACCTTCAAACTACGTAGGCTACGTTTTAATAGGAAGGGAGAGTGGCTCACAGCTCAACAAATAAATTCCTATCAAGTCTTGAGATATGGAATCATTTAAAAGCACAGCAAATAAAACATTATCAAAATCTGCCTTCAGAGCATTTATGGTCTTGAAATTAATCTCAGGCCCATGTTTGGAAAATTGTTTGTTGTTTTAGAATGATGTAGGAATGCGTAGAATAACATTTGGTACTAGAGGCTTGGATATAGAAACCTCCTATAAGAAAGAAGCATTTGGATGAAAGTGCAGTAAAGTGTTGTTTTAATGGTGTGCCATTGAGATTACATCTTCTGCTGAAAATGAGCAGTCTTGAAGCTTCTCTAGCAAGGATTCCAGTGCTGAGCTGCTTTGTGAGTCAGGAGAAACCTTGCACATTTTCCTTTGCTGATCCCCTTCCCAGTGGATTTGTTCTTTTTCTTCCTCTGCCCCAGGTGGCCACCCAATACCTGGGGCACCTACAATGTGGCAGGTTGTAGTAATGGTCCCTTCCCAGATCCCTGACTCATGCAGCCATGAACATTCCAAGTGTAAATCACTGAACTTGCTGAATGGTCATCAAGGGGCATCCTCCTCGCCATCTTCCACTTCAACCCTCCTCTGCTTTCCAGGCACACACTCTGTCTTTCTAGAATGTGGGCAACTGAACTCTTCTTTGGATTTTCATTAGAAAGACTGGGGGCCATTCCAAATTTCATCTGGCGGACAGTATGGTGCGTAATTATTTCTATGTCCATATTCCAGTTTAGTTGGTTGGTCCAGACTAGTGAGTGAAAAGTAATCTGCTGCAGGAGTGCTGGGCAAACAGGAAGACCTGGGTTTGAATCCTGCCACATACACTGCGTTACCCTGGGCAATCACTGCCTTTCTGAGCCTCGGGTTCCTCTTCTGTAAAATGGGGCTGAGAATAACTAACTTGTCCCTCACTTGGTTGTTGTGAGGATCAAAGAAGTCTGAAAAGCCCTTTGCAAATTCTCTAACCATTATTATTATTATCATCATTAGGCAACCTCCATCACCTTGGGGAGTTCCTCCGAGGACTCAGGTAAGCAGTTCCCTGAAACTTAGGGTTTTAGAATGTTACTTGGGGACCTGGAGGGGTTAGGTGACTTGCCTAGGGTCACATAGCCAATCTGTGTTACAAGTAGTACTTGAACCCAGGTCTTCCTGACTCTACCAATAGTCCTTTATGTAGTGAATCAAGCTGCCTCTTATTAAGATACAGCACGAATTCTTGTTGACATTTAGAACCATAGAACTTAGTATGTTAAAACTGAAACCTCTGCATCTACTTCAACCCTTCCCTTTGACAAATGAGGAAACCGGGGCCCAGACAGCTGAAATTCACTTTTCCAGGCTGACATTCCGGGCAGAGCTAGCTCTAGAATCCAGGTCAAAAGTACAGACAAACCCAGCTGCCTCCCAGGCACCTGCACACTTACAAGTCGGACCCTGGGGAGAGTGAAGGGGCTTGTCCAGTCCCCAGTAACTCACTGCACCCATCCGAGCTAATTAAAATAATAATGACTATCTAATGCTCTGCAAATCTCATTTCATTTCATTCTCACAACTGCCCTGGGACATGGTGCTATCATTATCCCTATTTTATAGATGAGGAAACTGAGGCAGAGAGAGGGTAAATGACTCACATCAGCTAGGAATAAGCACAATCAGCCTACAATTAACGGGCAAATTGTAAAATTGGGCAGGCAGCAACGTTCCTTGTTTCTTTTTAGGACTGCTTTGCTTTTGGGCTTAGTTTGCTTGTTTTTCATACAGGGAAGGAAATATATGCTGCGGTCTGTTCCCTGTTCTACCCCTCACATCAATAACCGGCTGGAGACTGAATCGGGAAAGAGACCGGAAGGCTCCATCTGGCTTCGCCTTTCGGGCTTCATCCTTGGCCGTTTTCTCTCGGCGAAGGCTGGAGCTGCATTTGTCTGAGACGACAGCACCACCCAGCGTTCTGTCGGCTAATCGCAGGACGCTGCTCCCGTCCAGAGGGCCCCGAGGCTCGGAGGAACCGCTGATGGAAACGAACGATGGTCACAGATCCTTTCAGTCCTCACCCAGTTCCTGTCCCTTTCGATGAGCTCTACTTGAGGAACCACCTCCTCAAGCTTGAAGGCGGCCATTTTTTAACGGTGAAATGTTGAAATTATTCCAAGAATTCAATTCAATTCAATAGCCGGTGGTCGGCATGGCCTCAGAGGCCCCTTCCAGCTCCCCCATCTGTGAGCCCATGAATTCAGTTAAACGAGCGAGCGCTTACAGTTTTCAAGGCACTATGCTAGGCGGTCACTGAACATAAAACATGGAGCTCTAGAGAGTCAAGAAGATCTGGGTTCGGATTCTTCCTCAGACACTTCCTAGCTGCCGGACCAAAGGCAAGTCATCTGCCCTTCCTTTGCCTCAGTTTGCTCATCTGGAAAGTGAGGGGTTGGACTCCAAAGGCCCTTCCATCTCTAAATGTGTGATCCCTTATGGGGTTTACATTTTATTAGGGCTATGCAATTTGCACCCAGATAAGTAAATATAAAAGAATGTACAGAGATGGCCAATGCTAAGAGCTGGGGGGTGGGGAGGTTTTAAGAACGGGTGGTCAGATTGGGACAGTTGGTGCAAAGGCAAAGAGGCTGCGGGCGTTACATCAGGCGAAGAGTCTACAGAGCGACGGGCCGCATATTGGATGGGGCATGAAGGGGAATAACGTCACATAAACCTGCCAAACTCAGGGGGAGCTAGATTGACAAGGATTTTAAACACCGGGTATAGAGTTTATATTTTGTCTTAGAGAAATCAGGGAACCAAAGAAAGCATTTGAATAGAGCAGCGACATCGATATAACCTTGTTCTGGAAATACGGATAAGGCAGCCGTGGAAGATGGCATTACACCAGGCAGAGACTACCCACGGGGCAATGAATGAGGACATTCCCCACGTGACCCTGGGGGTGGCTCAGCACCCTTTGGCCCCGTTGCTTCACCTTTAAAAAGAACACTTTTTGCTCGCCCTGTGGCCCTCTGTATGGTGGTTTTGGGATGCCTCATGTGACTGGCTGGCTCCAGCCATTCTTCACTTCATTCCTCAGGTCTCTTGTTGCCTGCCCCCATGAACATACCTTTTCCTTCCCAATCCAGCCTTAACTTTTCAATTCTCACACCAAAATGAAAACATCACTGCCTTTGTTACTGGGAAGGATGCATCCCTTTTCTCCCCTACGGTTCCATTCTCTATTCCTGGGGTTTTCCAAACCACAGCCTTCCTTCCTGGTCCCCATGCACCTTTTTCTGTCTCTCCCATTAGAACAGAAACTCCCTGAGAGCAGAGTCTATCTTAGCGTTTGTATTTGCACACAGTCAGTGCTTAAAAAATGATCTCCTGTTCATTCACTCATTTGTTCAAAGATTGGACCTGATGACTTCTGAGGGCCCTTCCATCTGTAAATCTATGATCCTATGAACCTATTACAGTAATCCAGGCAAGAAGTGATGATGAGGCCACCCCCCTCCCCATATCCAAATCTCCACCCCTAGACACTTTTGCAGACATCTTCATGAGTTACCACGGGGAAAAAAAATAGCACCAGACTGTCAAGCTTCTGTTTATGAGCAGAGGTAGACCGGTCCTCAGGGAAGCCCAGTGCCCAGGCCAAAGGCAAAGCTTTTCCAACTGTGTAAAGTAGGCAAGAGCTTCTGGCCCTAGGAACACATAAAGTACCACAGTGGAACTTCAGTGGAGACACAACTAATTCATGAGCACGGATACAATTCTGGAAGGAAGGAAGGACAATCTGAGTTCAAATCCAGCTACAGACCTTTACTAGCAGTGGGACCCTGGGGAAGTCAGTTAACCTAGGTTTGCCTCAGTTTCCTCATCCAATTTTGCTGAGCATTGGGAACACAAAAGCAATAACAGCCCCTGCCCTCAAGCTGCTTATATTCTACTGGGGCTGAAACAACAAGGTAACAGATGAGTAAATATCAGATACATTAAATTTAAAAGACAAAAGGATTCCAGGGAGGCACGAGTAGGTAGTGTATAATGAACTGGCCTTGGAGCCAGGAGGATGTGGGATGAAAGTAGACCCTGAGCCAGGTGGGGTCAGCAGCAACTCCAGCTGTAAATCATAGGGTCAATGCCAGTCTGCCTAGGCAGAGGAACCAAGATATTAAAGAAAAGGGTGGATTCCCTTTGGAAGATTTTACAGAGAAGTATAGACAAGAATGCATGGGAAGAGGAGGATGGAGGAATCGTGGCCTGCATCTGTGATGGAAATACCTACAACAGTGAAATCACAATCCACCATCTTACTGGTATTTCTGCATTGCCCCAAACAAACGGATGAAGCCATTTCCAATCCAGAAGTTTTTACTGGTTCAAATTTATCTTGAATCAGTTCAGTCAACTGACACTAAATGTGTTAGCTTTGTTAAATGAAGTTGTTTGTTATTCCAGAACTTACCAGTCTTGATTCCACCCCTTGGACAGCTCTCATATCTGTTCTCTGCATTCACCAAGTCACTGCTCGAGGCACTAGCACTCAGGCCCTCGTCCCCTTTCACTCTGCCTATTGCAGTAGCTTCCTCATTGGTCTCCTGGCTTCTAATCTTCTGCATCTTCAAGTTATGCTTTACATAGCTGCCAAAAGAATCTTCCCAAATTGCACATCTGATGATATCACTCTCCTTAAGAATCTTCAGTAGCTCCCTATTTTCCCTTGAGGAAAAAATCCAAACGCCTCAACTTGCCATTCAAGGGTGTCCACTCTCAGTCACCCGCCTGATTTCTAGACTCGTTTCTCGATTTTACTTTCCAACGAAACCAGCCTGTTTGCTGTTCCCCAAACTTAGCCTCCACTTTCCCCCTTCCCTTCATGCTTTTACATTGGTTGACCCCTCATGTGAGTTTAACATTTGCTGCACAATTTCGAACTGCATAGCTGCTCGAATCCAACAAAGTGAAGAATATTAGCTGCTAGTTCTTAGTTTTGCAAACAGTCCATCCTGTTGTGCCCAACAGAGTCTTGCACTCTGTGGACACTCAATTAACACTGACAATGCTGAGCTTAATTTTGGAGAGTGGAGGACAGAAAGGAAGAGACAAGATCATGAAGGACCTTGGGAAGACAGCCTGGAATAAATTGCAAGTTTCATGCTTCCAATGAAACAATCAATTGCTCATGCTTTTTTTCCTTAGTGACTGCGCACTTCTGAATAAATCCTGGCTCCAATGAGCGAGTGGAAATGCAGAAAGCAAAGCAAGGATTACCGACATCTGTTTGCTGACCTTGCTTGGTTATGAGCAGCAAAATGTCCCTGGACATTGAAGTTTGGATGGTTGCTACTTTGACTGGGTATTGGGTAAGTCAACTAAATGGGTCTTCAAGGAACTAAATGTTCATCGTGCATGCTAAAATGTAAGTTACTTGAGGGCAGAGACTGGTTTCATTTTTATCTTCATATCTCATTCACCTCATAGAATGCCAGGCACCCTTAATTAATGCTTGATGGCTGGCTGGATACTTCCATTTGCTGTGGCAATATTCACATGTTCAGTTGGGCCAGTGGGGGAATCCCACCCAGGCACTGCTCTTCTTCCTCCCACTGATTGGCGCGGGCTAACTAACATCCAAGTGACAGAGTAAGGATAGGCCACCAGGATGAACTGTGTCAACCAATAGGGAACCCACAGTGTCTGAAAGGATCAACTGAAAATTGTCTTAGCCTGGCAGAGCCCTTCAGCCTCAGCTACTGGCCTGGGTGACGACCTTGATGTCTGATGGATCCCAGAGAACTGAATGCACTCATACTCTAGAGATTAAGGGAGCCAGAAACTCCAAGGAATTCTTAGCTAAGGCCTGTCTTCGTGAGAGACATCACTAACTGGGGTACTGAGGGGTCCAATTTTATAGGAGTACATGAACAGCAACCCCTCCACATTTGTTTTCTTCTCCTACACTGTTTTTCTGAGCTCTGTCTGGGTAGCACATTTGATCACAGCATACCTGGGGTTTGGTGAATGCCCAGACCATATACAATGGAAGCACTAAGAACCTGCCCAGTTGCTCGATGCGGGACCATCTGAGGGCCACCTTCCTCTCCAATTAGGCCCCCATGGCCCTGAGAAATGGGCCTGAACTTCGCCCTCTTTTGTTCGTCCTTTTCAGCTGTGGGTGTGCCCCTTGAGCTCAAGCCATGGGTACCTTGGAGCCTAGGATTCTCGGCTGAGTTTTGCTGCCAGTCCAATGGGGAGGGCCTAAGAAGCCAGGGTTCCAGGAAGCTAACCCAGAGGGGCTTTAGACATCGAATTTTGTGGGACTAATCCTCCTACCCTCCCAGAGAGTGAGATGACATAGGGTTATATCCATGAGGTGATGGGAGAAACGTTTGTCTGTCCACTTTGGCTATGCCTTTGAAGTACATATTCCTCTGCAAAATCTAATCTTATTGGCAAATGGTTAAATGAAACTGGATGCTTGCACCCCTCAAGACTGGCCTACACTGTGTGCCTGTTTAGTGCTCATTCATCCCCAAAAGTTGCTTTTCTGGAGCAAACGCTTTCCTAACCAGAACTTGAGGACATGATTAATCTACAATGCATTAGGAAATAAAAAACGAGCACCCCCTGACCAGAATCATCAAACTGGACGTTTTATAAGCCACTTGGGTTTTCCAAGGAGTCTCCAACTCCCAGATTTGACACTAAGTCTTCCTGGGCACACTGTAGCACTCTCTTTTCAATCCTGTAGTTGTAAAGATTATTTTTTCCAACCCAAGTATAGAAGTTTTGCATTCATTTCTATGACTCTTTAGTTGCAGTTCACCATTAGCTTTGCCAAATATATGCCCTGTTCTGGCCAGGACAGGGTCATTATTCATTCAGTGTTATTTTTTTTTTTTTTAAAAACATGGTCATGCAGAATATTAGAAAGAGAGCTATCTTTTTCCACTCAGTTCATCATTCCAGCTCAGTGAGATCTTTTGCTATTCAGATCTCTCATTCAATGTGTTAACAATTGCAACCAGTTGCACGTTTTCTGGAAATTTATCAAGAAAGCCTTTCCCACCTTGATCTAAGGCATTGATGAATACATTGAGCTGGACAGGGCTTAACCCAGGCACCTGAGATACTTCACTCCTACGTCCAAGTTGACAGAGCAATCTGATCTAGCTTGACCACCATCCAGTCCACATATCGCATCCTGAGATGATATTCTTCCAGATGTCTTCTTAACGTGAGCATACTTTGTTCATAGTGCCAGACTTAGCAATCCAATTACCACCACCAAAAAAAGAGGCAGGTCTGACAGGAATGCCATGCTCTAGAGAGCTAGAGACAGAAGACACTTTGGGCTGTAGTTACGAGGAAAAACTTCACTATCTACAGAGATTACAAACTGAACAGAGTAGATGAAATCGCCAAGTAAGAGGAGTTGAAAAAGGATGGAGCCCCAAGACAGAGCCTTGGGGGGCCACCTGGTATGACTGTGACATGGATGAAGAACTGGAAAAAGGGATGGATGAGCAACTGGGCAGATAGGAGGACCAGGAAAGCAGCGGCACAAAAATCCAGACAGGACCCAGGAAGTAACCAAAGGCCAGAATTCAAGGTGGGGATCAAAACTGAGAAAAGGCTATGATTTGGTAATTAAGAGCCAGACAATTGTGGGTTTAGAATCAAGTGAGAAGATGTGGATTCATCTAGCAACTGGTAGATCAATCAAGTTAGTAATTTTTAAAGACAGAAGTGATAGGGGTATATTCGTAGACAGTAGAGAGGCAGCCAGTAGATAAGGGGAGCTCTCGTGTACCTCAAATTCCACTACATGGTAGTCACTATGAGGGGAGTAGAGGTGGGGCTGGGGGAGTTAGAAAGACAATTACCAAGACAATTTAAGGGAGTTAATTTGAAAAACCTGGTAGCAATAAATGCCTCCACTACCAAAAGTGAGAGTACAGAGCAGAACAAAATCATATTAGATTTGATCCAGACAAGTTGGCCGAGACAGCTAAGGAGCAAAGTCACATCAATGAAATATTCTGATTTTGGAACTTGACTGCAGTTAAGAATAAGTTAAGAAGGATAAGTGTAGACAAGAATTAAAGTCATCCCCTGCCCCTCCATTTTTTCCTGTTTCACTCCTTGTCTCTTCTCAGAACAGTTTCTTTCCACAGCTTGGTCCATCTTTCTCCCTGGCTCTAGGCAGCAGCCTCGAGGGGCCTGTTTCATCTCCAAGGTGAGTTTAGACTTCCTGGCACCAGGAAGTTCGTTTGAATTGTCCAAGTCGGAGACATTTGACTAGTATTAGCAGCACGGTTTCATTTATCCTCTCCCTTGGCTCTGGCTTCCAAGGAGTCTTCTGGCCAGTCAACCTTGCCACTGACCCCACCCCTCATTTTCCTCCAAGGGTGTCCCACCAAGCACTCCTACTCTTTGATCCTGCCCACAAGCACACTTAGGTGAATCCAATCTTGGGTTGCCAATGCCCTTGCTCTGATCCCTTTGGCTTCTGAACTTGCCTATGTTCTAACTCCTTTACCATTTGGCTTGGCCACCACTATTCTGACACTGGGCTCTTCCAGGTGGTTACGCAAGATGCTAGACTCGATGACCTCATTCCTCAATCTCTTTGACATCTTCTGTTCCTACTGGATACTCTCCTCTCAGGTCCATGACATCACTCTCCCATCTCTCTCAATGTCTTTTCATGGGGCTATCCATTACTATCAGTCTGTAACAGCAGCTACATTGCAGGTTTGCAAGGAGCTTCACATGGTTCCCACAACAACCTTGTGAGCTAAGTATTCCTACTTCACAGATGAGAAAACTGAAGCTGAATGATTTGTCCAGGGGCAGAAAGCTAACAAGTCTCTGAGGTAGGACTTGAATTCAGGTCTTCATAAAAAGGCTAAACTTTGAAGTTAACCAGAGAACCTAAGAGGTAGATATGCAGAGGGCATATATTGCGGGTCTAGGAGAGGGCCCATACTAAGGGCAGAGGGCATATATTGGGGGTCTAGGAGAGGGCCCATACTAAGGCAGGTAGAGCAGGGAAGCTGGATTATCAGCAGGAATGCCCTGTGGAATGCACCATGGAGCATCTAACAGGCCTGGAAGGTGAAGGTGTAGGGATTGTCTTCAGTACATTCCATCTCAGACTAAGCACCTCAGGTTTTCTCCACTTCTCACGGACCTCCTCTTCTCAAAAGGCATTACTCTGATTTAGGAGGTGCGGCTAGTTAGCACAGTGGATAGAACACTGAACCTGAAGTCAGTAAGACCTGACTTCAAATCCAGGCTCAGCTACTTACCAGCTCTGTGACCCTGAGCAAGTCACTTAACCCTATTTGACTCAGTTTCCTCATCTAAAATGAGCCAGAGAACGAAATGGCAAACCACTCAAGTATCTTTGCCAAGAAAACCCCAAACAGGGCCACAGAGCAAGATGACTGAAAAACTACTTAACCCTTCGTGCTTGGCCTACTGCGATAACCTCTCATCGGTCTCCCTGCCTGACTATGACACTCCTAACCCAGCTAGAGCCTTCCTAGTAGCAGAAAATCCTGTTTGGCCTTAAAAGCTATTGCTACAAAGCCAGGCCCTTCCTATGCTGTGGGCATCTCCCACCTTGCCCTGCCACATGCTCGGACTCAGTCAGACCTTGCAATGTAAGGTCCTTCTTCATGTTTGGAATGCTCTGCCCCCTCACAGATGTTCCAGGTTCCTGCATGCCCTAAATTCCGACGCCACCTTCTGCAGGAGGCAGGCCTTTCCTGGTGTGCAGATGCTAATGCCCACTCCTCTCAGATCATTTGCCTATTCTGTGTCTACACAGGATATTCATGTGGTCCCTAATAAAAATGTGAGTTCCTTAAGGACAACCCCCTCCTCTCCTGCACTTCCTTTTGGGGGGGGATGGGGGAGAATGGAAGGAAGGGCAGGTTTACTTCTATCCCTAGTACTTAGCACAGTGCCTGGCACAAAGTCAACTGCATGTTCACTGAATCAGAACATGACAGCACGTCAAAATGCCAAACAGATTGAGAAGTATAAATACAGAATGAGAAGAAATGAACCATTAAAATGTTGGTGAATTTAAAAATCAACATTAGTTCGGAGCTTGGTATTCTACATTTTATTTAACAAACACCACTCACTTGGCTGCTTGGTTCACAAGCTTTATTTACATTTGTCGACAGCATCATTTCTTAATGAAACAAACTAGTACAGTTTAGTGAAACTAAAGAAAATCATAATCGTCAGAATTCTCTGTAATCTACCATTTGCTAAATTCATAAACTTGCACTTGCTAAGTACAGCAAAAGATAAGTATACAAAACACAAGAAGAAACCAATGGTAACATGTAGCTTCTAGGAGATCATTTGATCTTCACAATTTAGAAGGTAAGACTTTCAAGAAGTCAGAGGCACAATTACAAGAGGCTAAGTGTTCTTGTGCAATCTACAACTACATTTAGCAAAGAAAAGTGTGTGTGTATATACATGTGTGCGTATGTATGTATGTATGTGTATGTATGTATGTATGTGTATGTAAGAAATTGTGAAGTTAAATTCTTTGCAAAAAAGATTATCAAAATACTTCTACCTAAAACATTTTGCTTTCATTTTTAGATCAGTCCAAGAGAAAATTAAAACTAGTTTATTTTGAAATCAAGAATGTAATTTTGCTCTGGTTGCCTCCGTTTGTTAATTATTTTACTATTTCTGCTCAGTACTTTTACGTCCCCTTATTCAAATGACCCAACTGTTTCTTTCTCTTTTCTTAATGACACAAAGGCACCAAACTCAATTGTTAATTTCCTTCCCCATACTTACCTTGCAATGCCACTCGTAGAAACTGTTAAGAGAAACCCCCTCCCCTTTATAAACCAGAAGGCAGACTCAACGGAGTTCCAGAGACCAGATTTTGATACAGAAATCAAACAAATTCCTGAAAGCATTTTAAGCCATAAGTAATTTCAAGTGAATGGGGACAATGACAATTTCCTGTCACATCATGTAGGAACATTCATTTCTACTTCACAAGGAAATTCCATGCAGTGCATAAGAATAGTGAAATACATCAGAACCCATGGCTAATCCCCCCTGAGTGCACGGACATCAGAATGACTGGCTAGCCTTACAACATACACTCTTTTCACACAAGAGAAGTTCTATTTCCCAGGTCATTTCTCATTTTCCTCTTCCTTAAGGAGTCTCAGATTTTTAGCCCTGTTTACCCAATCATATATGGGCTTTCACGAACATGTCACATCCAAGCTCTTTGAAAAAACAAAACAAAAAGCCATGAGCTTACATTCACCACTATAAATCAAAATTGGAAATGTTAACATGGCCAAAAGGCCGCATACGAAGTTTTTTCCTTAAATAGCTGTGCCACAGATATGAACACGCAAGAGATAAAACTCTTGTATCAGACTGAGTGTCTAACCACCTCCCCCAATTAATTCAGGGAGAAACAAGCCATCTCCTCCAGCAACTTAGCATAGGGCCTGACCACTGTCTTAGGATGCAGTGTTGAGGAAAAGTGAACGGGGAAAACACAGAGCCACAGTGATCTCCAGCCATGATGGTGCGCTTCTCATGGATCTCTACAATTTACTATTGTTGAGCATAATTCTAAACTAAGTGTCACTTTGACAAGGTGACTATATGAAGACTCATTTATCTCCCACATTGTCAGGACTGCCTGTTCCCATCTAGCTCCCACAGTCACTGCTGGTATGCCCAAAGCTCAGGAAGCCTCAGGAACTTTTGCTGACTCAAACACTAAAGTCGGCAGATTCTTTACCATCAGGAAATATTTGGAAATGAAGAACAACACGGTCTAGAAAACAAAGCTCTCTTGCAAATTAGAGGAAACATATAGTTTTAAATAATAGAACGATAAACACATGACAACTATTTGGGGGGTATTATGGCTTAAAATGCTCATGTACTTTTAATTTCAAGAATGAACACAGCTGGAGTTTTCCAGAAAGCAATGACGGACATGCACCTCTACTAGCAGATTAGCACTTCTGACCAAGTAAGACACCAAACTTCTTAAAAATATGCTTCATGCACTGTACTGGAATTTTTTTTAGGTGTAAATTTTAATACATTATTTCTTTTTAGAGCTTGAACGGGAACCCGAATGGGATGATCCAGACGATGACCTGCGGCGCCTGGAAGATAAAAATGGAGAAAGCGTGCGAAGCATTGAGTGGGCGCTGACCACGAGCAAGCAAACAAAACACCTTGATGGTAAAGGGGGCTTATTCTACACTGGGACTGGGTCGACCAGTCTGTCTAGAGGTCGAGAGGAGGTGGAACTCGGGCTTTCAGTCTGTGGTATTAACAGTACAATCTTAATGTACAGTTTCAGGAATAAAAAATGAAAAATAAAACTATTCCATTTCAAAATATAGCCAGCTCTCAATTATTTAGAACAAGGAAAGAAAGAAAGCCCATCCTGGCAACCAAACCGGGGAATGCTCATGGCCAGTAGTGGTTTTTACAGACAAGCCCTCCAAGATCCCTGCCCACTCAGATTCATTTAATTTCTAGGGCAATGCGAGCTATCGATGTAGCTGTCATTCAGACTTCAGCAAGGCTTGGTCTTGTCTTCTACGATATATGTAGTGCAAGATTTTAAGAGGAAAAAAAAGCCAAGCTAGGGAGAACGATGATGCTCCTAGCTACCTAGCACCCGTGGGGCTTAGCTCTGGTGACCTTCTGTCTTCACTCGGGCTGACCTGACTGATGGACCGTGGTGAAAGGCTCAGGAAGTTGATGGGACAGTAAACGAGGTAGCCTAAAGCCGAAGGTTAGAATGAGAAGCCAGGAGATTGGAAACAGAAAAAACAAACAAACAAAAAAAACCTTCTGCCAGGCAAGCATGGGATAGCAAAGACAGAAAACAGAGTGTGAGTGTGAGCTGCCTCTGCATTCACTGGGGCACGGAGGGTCTGCATCAGAAGGGACTAAAGGGGCCTGAAAAAGCAAACCACCCAGCTCGCTGCCAGAGAGACTCCAAGGAGGCAGATGGGGGGTTATCTAGCCCAGAGTGCTGGGGGCGACAAGGACAATTGCCAACGTCCTCCAGCAGGGATGGAGTGGACAGTGACTGAGGAAGAAGGGATCAAGAGACAAAGGGAAGGAGCTGAACAGGGTGTCGAGAAGGAGACCAAAGGAGGACGCACAGGTCTCTTGGGGAATCCCCCGAGCCACATTCTCACCCATCCCTAGAGTGAGCAGGGGCTTGTTGGGCAGAGAGCCTCAGGCTCCTGACAGGCAATACCAAACCGAAGCCAAACTCCTGGGTTACCATTAGCTTCGTCCTTTCCCTTGCTTATTGAGAAATGGGCTAAGGAATAGTGATAAAAAATAAACTAGAACAAAAAAGAAAATGGAATGGAGACAAAATCCATCCTGGAACAAGGTGGGGAGTTAGCTATAGCACTAATACCTAAACATTTAAAAATGTTCAAACAATGGGCAATCTGACCTCTATCCTTCCTAGACAACAAAACTGGGCTTAAAACAAAATGGCATTATCTTAAAATTAGAAAAGAAAGTGACTCAAATTCAACCCTTTCCCAAGCCTTTAGTAAAGGTATTCCACACTCAAATACACCCATTCTTATTTCTACAGAAACCCAAACCTTTCGGGTGACCGTGATCTGGTGCGTCTTTTTTTGCGATCACCGGGTGAAGAAGATCTAGAACGGCTTCGTTTTCTGCCTCTCTCGGGAGATGATGAAGAACTTGAATAAGATCTTTTTCGTGGGGAGGAAGACCCCCTGTGGGACCTGGAGCTGGATCTTTATTGATTGAGAAATAAATTAAACACTTAATTAAATGACAGAGCCAAGAACCGATTATTTAGCTATCAGATCCAAGACTGATCATAAGTCTACAATCTCCTAAGGCAAACATACTTACTGCTTCCTCAACAGAAGACTCTGGTTCACCCATGAACATAAACTAGTATTTAATGCCAAGGTTTTAAAACTCGCATCTCTTACTGCACTATAAATAGGATGCATTCTTGGTTATTTTATATTTGCATCAGACTAAATTTTTCCTTTCAGTCCTACAAAAAAGGGAAGCAAAGGGGGAATGGAAAGCACAATGCACACTACAATGAAACATGTAATTGTGCATTTTAAAATGAACTTTTAAAATTAAACTTTCCCATTTAAGAAGAGCAAAAACCACAAAATACCTTAAAACAACTTCCTGAGGATAAGAAAATTATTAAATCCGTTTGAAATGAGGCAACTTAACACAAGTTGCAATTGAGAAAGCAGGGATGGCAGTGAGAGAGAAGAGGGGAGGGAAGGAGAAAGAAACAGCAAATGTGTCAAATCAGCATATACTTAAATGAAAATAGAACCAATAATTTACTAAAACTGCTTTAAAACATTTACAAATCTCATTCAAGAAACACTATTCATGAAATATGACGTGTTGACATTCACATGTTTTACTCAGGGAAAAAAGTACATATTTTTAAGTGTAATAACTATTTTCATTCTCACTTACATAATTATGGCTGAAGCATTTAGCTCAAACATCCCAAAAAATTCACCTTTGGGCTGAGATTAAGAATAAAAAGCCCAAAAGGAGAATTCTTTGGAAAGTTGTGAGCAAGCAAAAATGTGAGGGTAAGAATGGAGGCTGCTCCACTGTAAACTGGGGGAAGCTGCAGCACTCACTTACTAAGTGACCTCTAGAGGGGGCCCCTTTCAAAACCCAGGCTGGCCCTTGCAAGCAGAGAGAACACGATGGCTTTCTAAAACCTGGGAGCAATGGTGCCCAGGCCTGTGACTCACACTCTTCTTAACTGCGGTAACACCTCAGGGAACTCTTGGAAAGACTAATGCCGTGTCTGGCTTCTGAGTTTGAACACTTATTTTACCAAAAAAGAAAAAACAAAACCCATGTTGTTAAGCTTTGATGGGGGCATCTGGGATTCTCAAAGTTGTCTTCTATTTCTTGCTGGGGGCCTCTGTAAGGCAGGTCTCAATAAATTATCTTAACAGATTAAAAAAAAATTGCAGCTTTAGACTTCACTTTATTTCCCCTCCCCCCAATATTTTCACAGTAAAGGCTACTTAATGCATGCTCCATCAGCACCATGGTTCTTTCTAGAGGAGCTGCCAACCTCACAATGTGCCCCAGTGCAGACACTGGCTGCAGGGCTGATGTCTACTGCTGAGGCCCAGCCTCTTTTATGTGAAATGTCCTGGACAGTGGAATACTCCAGAAGCATCCTAAGTGAAGCCAAAACAGGAGGGAGACGAAAAAGGGGCCTCAAAAATGTCTCAAAAGGCAGTTGTTTTGGATTTCACTGGAATTACAACAGAGGGGAACTATTCTTGCTCCAGATAGGATTTCTAAGCTAAGCAATAATGGGTAGTCCTTTCCTTGCTCTGGCCAGGAGGCATGAAATTCTTCCTCTCATTAGAGGTGCTGCTAGCACAACCTCGGCATGCCGTATTGAGGGCTAAATGGGAGGTCCAATTTGACCATGATGTCCTGCCTCATCAGATTGTACCACCAACATAACAAATCGTCATTTAAATTTAATCATGGGAATGTCTTGGCACACTGCTGGCAATGGAAACATTTCAGGGTGAGAAAATTAAGCTGAGGCAAGAGCATTAGTTTTCTAATGCCAACATAAAATTGACAAGTAAAAGCAAAACAAAGTTGTCAAAGCAGCAGCAGCAGCTACGCCCTCTGGTGCCTTTTCATATCCTCTCTGCAGGGCAGAGTGAATGCTACCTCATTCACCTGGATTTCGACCCACGAGATCTCGAAAGTTCTCTGGAACTGGACCGAGACCTTGACCGGGAACTGGAGGAGCTTCCTGAACGGGACCTGGAACAACATGGAAGGGGTTTTTCCAGTATCACTTAAGTGAGCCTTGGGCTATGAACACTGAAGGGAAGATGCACAAGACATCTGACTTTCATGCAACAAGACAAGGATCTGGGATACACATTATCAAAACAAGCATTAAGAAGAACCTTTTCCTTGTATGCCTTTGGCAGAGCTTACAAGGACTTGTGAACCATCACCACTATCCTAGTTATTTTCAAATTTTATATATTAAAACAAAAGTTAAAATGAACAGAAACACCAACTTTCCTCAAAATTCCTCCAAACTCTGTAAGAATATAGGAAGATGTCACTACCATCACTATAACAAGAAACCAGTGTTTCTCTAGGTTGGTGACTAAAAATTCAGGTTCACCTTTGACTTGCATTAAGCCCAACTGGGGAAGTGTGACCTGCATCTGTGGGGATTCCCCTGTCTTCCCACTTTTCTTTATGACTCAGCTGATGCTACTTCTAGGTTGACTCACTTCTATTTCTAGTTAGTAAGAAGATGTTAACAGGCTGGTCTATCTTCTGCTATCTGTTTCAATCAAGACTACTTTATTGAAACACTGAACAGAGAGAAAGCTAATCAAGTCCATCTTGTGGAAGTGCATCCATTTAAGCCAGTTTTTATTTCAGGTGCCTTTAATACAGGATATTAGGAAACAGAAAAGCCATGCATTCATATTAAAAATACTTATTAACCTACCATCTCAAAGCCAAATTTTCTAATTTGTGCCAAAGAATAAGACCTGAAGAAATAATCCTGTGGTGATCTTAAAAACAAAATTTAAAAACCTTTTTGCTTCAAGAATGCTTTCAGTTTTTATTAATGGTTGAAAAATAACATGTAATAATATTTTATTCCTTATCTGCCACTATAATTTATTACCCATGTCATTACTTCATAAAGCATACAAAGTTACTTGAAAGAAATAAATCATGTAATTTAGGGCACTGATGATTTTCTACCTGAAATTTTCTCTTCAGTCACAGAATTTAATTACATCAGCGAATGACTATGGATAAATCCACAATACCAGAGGGAAACCCACTCAGTCTTGCATTGATCTCACTGTACCTAGGTATTACGAAATTACAAGTTATACTCAGGTACAAAACTCCAACAGAAAGGACAACTAGAGAAAAAGAAGGACACAACTGCTGATTTCTACCAACCGGCTTCTCTGCAGGTCAGCTTAACTTCATGCTTAATTATCATTTAGATGAAACACGTTTTCACTGTGCACAACTTGTAACACAAGTACAACAAAAACCAGGTCCGCCAGAAAGTGACAGGAACAGGAAGGAACAACCACCAAAGAAATCCTAACTGCTCTGAGTCAGTGACAGCTAAAAAGTAAACGAGTTTAACTCAGCTCTTGGAGTCTGGACAAGGCTTTCAAAACCACCCACCCTCCCCCAGAGCAAGGCTGCACAATCTCAGACGTCTGCTGTCCTTAACAGTCTGTAGGGAATCACTGACAGAAGACACAGACAGACACACTAACGACAGGAGACTCTGCGCCTCCTCTGATCTTTTCACTAATTCTCCACTGTGTTATGAAACATCACCCCAAACTTAGAAAGTGCTCTTTAATAAGCAACGGCTTCATTTAAGAGTCTTATCTGAATGTTTCCATCCCACCTACTCCAACCCTTGGAGAGAAGTGAAAAAAACCCCAAAGGAATAAGCATCTACACAGCACCCACGATTTGGCAGGCAATGGTTAAATGTTAGGGATACACAGGAAGAATAATAACACAACAACCGTCACGCTGACTTCAACACAGCACTCAATAGTGTGTGCCAGATGCTGTGCTACGTGCTTCACGACTGTCATCATCAGATCCTCCCAACAGCCCTGGGAAGTGCTATGATATCCTCATTTTATAGATGAGGAAACTGAGGCAGACAGAGTTCAAGTGACTCGCCCAGGATCACACAGCTAGTAAGTGTCTGAGGCCAGATTCAAACTCAGGTCTTCCTGACTAAGTGCGGAGCTTTAACTACTGTGCCATTCTGGCAGCCTATCCTCAGGATTTTCATCAAACTTAAAGTTTCTTCACAATTAGAAAAAGAAAAAAAGACCAAATGTGTCTTGCACATTAATTAATAAATGTAGATATACGTGACTTTAATTGTCCATTAAAGCTGAACAGTCTCACATCTAGTATTTCATTTGTACTCTTCCCAGTTCAATTATTTCAGTAAAGGAGGTACAGGGCTAAAATATACAATACCTTCAAAGGAAGCCTCATTTTAAATCTTAATTTTGGAGAAGGGTTGTATAAAAACCACATTAACAGATTAAAAAGTTAAGTGCGAGAAAGGAAACCACTTGTTATCAAAGATAAACTCTTTAAAATAAAGTTGAAACCTTAATTCAATCAAGGAAAACCAAAATGTGTAAATAAAGAAGTTAGATACTGACATTTTGCCTGGTGTTACCCTTGACCTGTACCCGTTTACCTGGACCTAGACCTTGAGCTTGAGTGAGAGGATGAGCGTGAGGAAGATCGGGAGTGGGAAGACCGAGACTTAGAGCGACTTCTTCCGTGGGATTTCTTTTTACTGCCATCTTCCTCTTCACTGGCATCAAGATTATATTTTGATAGATCTGCATCATCTTCATCCTCATCCTAATGAAAACATATCCATCAGAATCCGTTAGGTTTAGGAATCTAGGCATCAACGTAACAAAAACTCTTGTCCTGTGTGTCTGGCACAAGCTGCTTAGAGACAGATCTACTGCTTATCTCGGCAGGCTGGCTCAGAGGAATTGAAATCCAAAAGGCAGCTCCCCTGCTAACTGAGAACTCACTCTGAAACAAGCCACTTCTATGAAGAATTGAGAATTTCAGGACAAAAGAGAAATTCCCCAGTAAGATTAAAACGAGGGTACAAAGTTCAATTTCAGGGCTTAGAACTAGAGACAAGTCAATGGTGGGATGGCATCCTCAGAGACGAGGTCATCCTGGCAAACGGGGCCAGGTCCCCGTGTGACAAAAGGACAACCTCTCACGGTCCAGCTGGGGACAGAACTAAGAGATGCTGCCTCCATTATCTCTAGAAATCCTTTCTGAGCATCCCTCTCAGTCTGGTCAGGGGTGAACCAGACAGTCTTTTCTTGTTATTGAGAATTAAAGACCCATTCCCTTCTAATTTGACCACTGTAAACAAGATAAAACTTTCTTAGCTTTTGAGGACAGCCCTCCACGATCATGACTGTCAATGTCAACAAAATGATATTCCTAATAATCAGCATTTATATAGTGTATGTGATCTAATTTTTATTCTCATAATAACCTTGAGAAGTATATTATCTCAATTTGTTTGCTGTTCAGTCGTTTCGGACTCCTCGTGACCCCACTGGGGGGTTTCCTTGGCAAAGATGCTGAAGTGGTTTGCCATTTCCTTCTCCAGGTCGTTTGACAGATGAAGAACTGAGGCAAACACGGTTGAGTGACTTGCCTGAGGTCACACAGCTAGTGAGTATCTAAGCTTGGATTTGAACTCAGGTCTTCTTGACTCCAGGCCTAGGGCTCTATCCACTGCACCACCTAGCTGCTTTACCCTCATTTTACAGATGAAGAAATTGAGGCAGGCAATGGTTAAGCGACTTGTCTACATTCACAAGTCAGCGTGCTAGTCAGTGTCTGAGCCCGAAATTGAACTCATGTCTCTATCCACTGTACCATGTAGTTGTCTCTAGAATCTAATTAAGTCTGATATACAGATAAGGCTTTCTATTCCAAGAAGAACAAGGACCTTAGACTAGGATACTATTCAATATTATAGATCAATATTTCTGAAGAAAAAAAAAGATTTAGAACTATATGCCTCCTGTCTCATTTGTGGTTCCATATAATATCTTCAAATGCCAAAGCAGTCAGAGCAAGGAGGCAGCCCGGTGATCAGGAGCTCTCTGCAAGGACCAACAGAGGGGTCACCCGATACACATGGGGCCAAGTTAAGGCAACCTTTCTAGGCCTGCACCAGGCCCAGCTGGCAGTGTGGGTGGAGGGCTATTATTTCATGCCTCCCCATTTCCACCAGGGTTCAGGCTGACACAACTGGAATAGGGTTCTGGGAGGGTATAACATTCCATAAAACATAAAAAAGGGGAGGGAGTGTGAGTGTGAGTGAGTGTGAGTGAGTGAGAGAGAGAGAGAGAGAGAGAGAGAGAGAGAGAGAGAGAGAGAGAGAGACTGAGAACACTGTCTACTCAGAAGGTTTACTGGTATGAGGAAATCCAGGCACCTGGGGAGGAAGTGTAGAGCAGAGTACTGAGCGTAACAAAAACAACAATGGAAAAAAGGAACTGAAGCACATTTATTATCATTAGGGCAGAAATTGGAAAGAGCCGAGTTCAGCAAACATCAGCAGCATGAGCAGGTTGTGCAGAGGTATTCCAGAAGAGAGGAAGGGGCTTCAGTGTCTGCTACAGTCTGGACTTCATCCATCCAAAAGTGTGAAAATCAGCAAGAGGGCATTCTAGTTTGGAGCCGATTCTCCTAACACAACAATCAGATACTGGGGTAATATGATGATAACCTTAGGTGGCAAAGGGGTAGAAGAAGAGAAATCCAGCCCTCCCACTTGTGATGGAGAAGAAAAGGTAATGTAGGTACCATGTGACCTAAATGTGGGGAGATAAGGTTTCAAACGGTTTTGAAGAAGGGATGGTAGGATACCAGGGACTACAATTCTGCATTGGAAGTTGGCCAAAGAGGGGGAGGAAACTCTCCAGAATGAAATTCTAAACAAGAAACAATTCTGAGAAGGATCAAAAGGACCGTTGTCTCCGAAGATCAATGTGAATGCTCTGATCAGCTTAGATAAAAAGTAAGAGAAGCTGGCAGTGAGGCTGGCAACATGAGAAGGGCAGCCTGGGTCTGTGCCAACAGTCTCGGAATTTGAGACGGGATGATTAAAAAGTGGCCACAGAAAGAAGGCAGGGTGTTTAATAAGAATTACGCAGCCCTCCCTCAGGCCAGAAGATGGACCTTTGGCTGGCAAAATAAAGAACAAAAATGGCTCAGAGGGACTTAACACCTGAGAGAAGTAAGGTTACAGCGCCTCCCTGTGACGGAGAACTTTGAGTCACCTGGCCCCAACTGACAACATCCTCTATTAAAAATCACACTTGCTAACATGTGCCTGTTCCTGCTACATGTGAGGCACAGTGTGGAGCACTTTGCCATTATCATCTCAACTGATTCTCACAACAACCCTGGGAGGTGAGAGCTTTTATTATTCCATTTTACAGGCAAAGAAACAGAGGCTAAGTGACTAGCTAAGGTCACCCAGCCAGTCCAGTCTCCCTGACTCCACCTCCTGCCCTCCAGCTGACTCCCCTTTGCCATCAGAGGATGTGACTGCTGAGCCACCTTCAGGGACATTTAAAAGATCCTAGAGAATGGAAGAGGGCCGCAAGACTGAAGAAAGACAAATGATGGGGCAAAGAACAGACATTTACAAAATACAGGTGAGTCTGGCCTGGACACCCAAGTAAATTCTCGAATGGACCATTAAAGAGACAAGGGACTGTCTAGAAAAGGAACAACTTCATGGCCCCTTTCAAGTTACCAGACCTGATCCAGGGAATGCTCCAAGTTTTTGTAAAGCACATGCACACTTCTTCTGGAGCAACAAAGAGATGGAACATAACAAGGTTGGTCCAAGTGGCCACGACATCTGCATTCAAAAAGTGTAATCCTGAAAGGTTCAATGGTGACTTGGCAGGTGCTGCGGGTGAGCAGCCTCTAGGAATCTACGTGCGCGCGCACGCACCCACACACCCTTTTAAAAAAACAGCAGGTTCGGATGAGAGAGCCAGTGACCCACTTCTGAAACAAACAGGCGCTTCGGAGCTGGGAGCTCGTCAGGGACTAAGCGTGCCACAAGAGCACGATCGAGTACTCAGAAATGGACGGTCACTCTTCAAGAGTCAAAAGTCTCTAATATGCCAGCTCAAAAAAGCCCAAACCAAACCAAAACCCACGAGACAGGCAAATCCCGGTTAGGTAGCCCTTTGAGAGGCTTGGAGGCCTGAGAGGAGCTGGCAGTGGGACGTGGTGGCCCAAAGAGCTGTGGGCATCAGAGAGGCCAAGCTGCCGGAGTCGGGGGGGCCTTGGCCCCTCTGCACTCCTCCTGGGTCAGGTGAGATCCTGACTCTTACGTTCCTTTCTGGGGACCGCCTTTCATCAACAATGATCAACCACTGAGTGCCCAGGGGGCAGAGCAGGCTGGCAGCTCCATTCATTCCCCTGCAGGAGACCAAGAGACAGGAAGTCTGTTTCCTACTTTCTGAAGGGCTCTCATGTGGAGGAATTCTCTTCCTAAGCAGATGGCAGAAGCAGGAGCAAGCAACAGGGGCGAGAGGCCAAGTCAGGCTTTATGCCAGGAGACACCTCCTCACAATGAGAGCTTGTCTGGAGAAGGCTCGGCAGGAAAGGATGCCCCCCTTCAACAAGCCAGCGCTGAGAGAACAGGGATGAGCCCCCAAACCCCGAGGAAGCGGAAGACAAAGAACCAAGCTTAGATCTGACAGAGCGTCAAACGGACCCGTGGGACGGACGAGCCAGCTGCCGAGGCCTCCGCGCCAACACTGAGCCCCAGGACCGTGAACAGCACCTGCCTAAAAAGAGACCGGGGGGCCGCAAACCCACACAGAGCTTTCCCCTGACTCCGAGCATTCAAGGGGAGAAGGGTCAGGGGCTACCCATCTTAGATGAGAAGCTGTGAACAGAGACATCTGGAGTCTCTTTCAATGCTGGAAACCTACGATTGTGAGTTTAAGATTCAGCTTTGCCACACGCTTATTCTTGTAATCATGGACAAATTACTCTAAAACGAGCCAAAATGAATGACTCTCCTCCAAGAGCGGTTGTGGAGAGTGCTATATAAAAATGAGCTACGGCTAGTTTTCTATCACGTGGGAAACAGTGCTAGAGAAAGCAGAACGTTATTACCTCATCCAATTTATATTTGGACAGATCTTCATCCTCATCCTCTTCTTCTCCCTCTGATTCTTTATCTTCGACTTCCTTTAAGATTGAAGCAGGTCCAACTGCTTTCCCTCTGTACTTTTTCTTTTTCCGACCAAACTAGAGAAAAACACAAGTCCACAAGGGGATTTCTCCCTAGCCAACTAGAAACATGTCTGCTTTCAAATTTTCAATAACAACGACATACTGAGTTGTTACAGTGTGATTCAAGCTCCCTCCCCCCTCCGAATACTAAGACTGCATTTTCTCGCTGTTGCTCAGTCATGTCCTCTTTGTGACCCCGTCTGGGACTTTCTCGGCAAAGATGGGTTGCCCTCCTTTCCTTCTTCAGCTCATCTGGCAGATGAGGAAACTGGGACAACCAAGGTTAAGTGACTTGTCCAGGGTCACACGGCTAGGAAGTGTCTAAGACCAGACATGAAGCCAGATTTTCCTGACTCTAGGTCGAGCCTAAAAAGGTATTCTCATAATCCAGAAAACAGAAATGAAATTCTGTCAAAGAAAAATTAAACACCAATGTTCATTTGCCTTTCTTTGCTCTCTAGATACACCTCTGAAGTTCTACTTTGATCTTCCAATGCACGTTCCATTTTAGTGCTATCACATCAGATTTACCTCGTCATACTCTCCATCAGATTCTTCTCGTTCAATATACTCCACATTTTCTCTTTCATTAAAACCTCCACCATAGCCTAAAAAAAAAACAACACAAAACCCCAATCCAAGTTTTTATCATATGCTTATGCCTTTATAGCTATAAAGATTATCTGCTTATCTATCAAATGGTCTGAATTTTCTGGTTCCGTGAATCAGAGCCATAGGAAGTGCCCAGAGCTAAAGCCAATCGAACACCCTCCCTTTCCCCTTCTTGCTGCATCCTGGGCTCAGGGACTTCTTCCTCTTTGGGAAAGGATGCTGAACAGCAGCACAAAGGTTGGGCTAGAGCTCCGAGCATGAAGGTTATTTTCAAAAAAAATCTCATTTTACTGAAGTCTGTCAAAATATTATTCACCAATAAATTGATAATAATGAAGCTCATCTCTCTCCAGTTCTTTCAGATGGCTTCTATCAATCAACTCATTAAGTACTTATAAAGTACATACTATGTGCCAGGCACTGTACTAGGTATTGAAGATATAAATAAAATGGATGAAATAATCCCTCCCCCACGGAGACTACATTCTAAAAGAATAAGAGAAGAGAAAAAGCAAACCCTCATCTACAGAAACAAACGTCGAGATCATAGAATGGGGGAAGAGACATCATGCTCAACGGGGCTGGAAAAGCAGGCTGAGGAGGGCTTGAATTATGTTTTATTCTAAAGGCCACAGGTAGCCAATGGTATTTACTGTGTAGAGGAGGGACAGGATCAGGTGTGCATTTAAGGATAATCACTTAGGTAGCCCTAAGGAGGGAAGCAGAAGGAGGGAGAAAACTGAGGAGGAGGTCCGAGTGGAAGGGCCTTAATAAAGCTCAGGCTAATCCTATTACAACACCAGTCTCACAAATCCAACACCTTTTATCATACCAGACTTCTGCTGTAAAAGGACTGGGTGAGAACTAGCCTGGGCTGAGAGTGCCCAGGATAACAGACATCAGGCTATGAGAGTCCTTGGAAGGCAATTCCCCTAATCCCATGTTACAAATGAGAAGCCTGGCTAGGAAGATTCAAGGCCTTGCCCAAGGCCACAGAGGGCAGGGGGTGTGGATCTCCATCCCTGTAATGGCACAATGCCACGCACAACTTTTCATCATGCAGACAACTTATACCCTCTGGAAAACATCCAAAATTGTTGGAACTGAGGCAAAGAAGATGAAGTGTCCTGCCCAGAGTCCCACTGGGTCTTCCTGACTCTGACAGGTCCACTGGGCCACTGAGATACCTCTAAAGTGATAAGGCCGAGGAGGGATGACCAAAATGAATAAAACAGCTAAGAATCCAATTTTAGGGTTGGAAGGGACTTTTGAGAGCTAATCCAACAGCCTAATTTTACTGACGAAGAAACTGATTCGAAGATTAAGGTGACTTGCCCAAAGTACTACATATTAGAATCCAGGTCTGGCTGGATTTCTCTTTCTACTAAACATTCTATCGTGATTTGAGTGGGAAAAAATGTAAAAAAAAAAAAAAACGTTCTTAGTCAATCTATTTTTAATATAATACTGTTACTTTTCTGGTATTGAAGTGACAGGGTTGGATCTGTGACTTAACTGGTACAGGAAGTTCTGAGAGAAAGCTCTCTGCCAGGGCTCATCTGTATCTTGTCTTCAGCTGCTTTGAGCCCTGGCAGGCGGGCCGACCTTCAAGGGCCCCAAACTGTCGCGTGCGTGTGCCGTGCTCCCCAGGGCGGCCTCCTATCCACCACACCACGCTGCCTCTCAGAGCAGTTTTTAGTGCACATCTGTACATACTTTCTCTTTGCAGATCTAATTTTAAGAGTGTGGATTATATTTAGGCCAACAGGATATGCCTAAAATCCATATCTGTCTATATTCTCTGCACCATTTAGAGCACGTATTGGTGATAACGTCATCTTTCCTAGTCCATACATTTTCCCCCTTACAGTTAATGCAATGTAACATAATGGCCAAGTAATGATTACATATTGATTGCTTTCAGAAAGACTTTATCAATGCACATGTGTAGACTAGGAATTGGCTTTTCCCACTATCATGGTAACACAATAAATTTATTGCATTTGAGACTTCTTGGTCCAATAATATTTAATAACAGTGAACTCCACGAAGGGGTAAAGTGCCAGATGATTATTAAATTCACAGATAACCTCAAATTAGCAAAGGCAGCTAACTGGAGACCTGGATTTCAATTCTAAAGAACACCAAACAGAAGTAAGGGGAAAAGAGCTAAAACATGCAAAAAGGGGGGCAGCTAGGTGGCGCAGTGGATAGAGCTTTGGCCTTGGAGTCAGGAGGACCCGAATTCAAATTTGTCCTCAGACACTTGACACTTACTAGCTGTGTGACCCTGGGCAAGTCACTTAACCCTGATGCCTCACCCCCCAAAATAAAATACAATAAATAAATAAGAGAAGCACAAAGGGAGAACAGGACCACTGCAGTACAGAGCCTTCTTATACATGCCAAGTGTGAAATAAATAAGTGATGACTTGATTACAATCTAGTAAATGTGCTAGGATACTTGTGGCTTAAATAGGAAAGGTATGACACTGGCCTGTAGGAAGCAAAGTCATCCCCTATCCATTCACTGCAGGCAGGTCTCTTCTAAGGGGCCATGTTGAGATCTACAGCTAAAATATACAGCAGGTTTGAAGAATGCCAGAGAACACACAAGACTGTCAAAAGCAAATTGTAAAAGTTAATTCCCATGAAGACAGCCACCACCACAAATTCAAATTCTTTTTGGCCGAGCAAGTTGTGGTATATGAATGTAATGGAATACTATAGTGCTGTAAGAAATGATGAGCAGGATGACTTCAGAAAAATCGGGAAAGACTTGTATGGTCTGATGCTGAGTGAAGTGAGCAGAACCAAGAGGACTCTGTACACAATAACAGCCACGTTATACAATGACTAAGATTGTTAAACTGAACCTTTCTCAGCATTATGAGGATCTAAGACATCTCCAGAGGCCTCGGGATGGAAACTGCTGTCCACATCCAAAGAAAGAACTATGGAAGTCGAATCGCTATCACTTATTTTTACTCTCTGTTGAGTTTTGTTTCATCTTTCTGATAGTTCCTCCTATTGGTTTTAATTTTTACTTACAACTTCACTAATGTGAAAATATGTTTAATGGGTATGTAAATGTAAAGCCTATATCAGATTGTGCGCCGTCTTGGGGAGGGTGGGGGGGAGGAAGGGGGAGAAAAATTTTCAACTCAAAAGCATATGGAAGTGACTGTTGATAAATCAAAATAAGTTAATAAAAAAAAAGTATGATCTTTTTCTCACAGAAGGCACATAAATAAAAGCTTAGATAACTGTGCAACCGAATCATCACCACAGACAAATCCTGCACACACACAAATGGAGGATGAGTAAAGGGACCGTTTCCTGTCACTGGACAAAGACTGAAGGGGACTCTTGACTGCCCTGTAGCTAATGGGGAGCAGAAGCACAGTAATCATGTGACTCCCCTGCCTCTCCCTCTCTTCCCTACTGCGCTGCAAACACTTCAGACACATTCATTAAAACACCCTCCAGGCTCTGACAGCCAACAAGTAAAGTCAAGTCCTTACTCCACACTCATCTGGAGATGACACAGAAGAAAAAGCACATGGCACCTGACAGCGATCCTCAAGGAGCTTACAGTCAAGCTGTCAGTTCCGTGACACACGGGAAAAAAAGAAGACAGGGCAAATGGCTGAATCAAATGAGACAGAAGAGAATGGATCTGTCAGTGAAGGGAGATCACCGGGGCTCACTGCAGAAAAGGAGGCAGCAGCACATTCTAAACCAACAGCCGCCACGTCACAGGGGACGAGAGGAGACTTTGAATGAACACCGAGCAGGTCTAGATTGCAAGGGGCCCAGAAAGTCAAAGACTAGAAGCAGGGGCCAATGAAGAGCCAGTGAAGGCTGTTATGCACAGAGGGACACGGAAAAAATCCCAGCATCAAGAGAGGAGAACTCCTCATTTTCCTACCCTTTCACCAAGCCTGCTGCCCTCCTCCTGATACTCAACAGCTACTGATGCCTTTCCAAAAGCTTGGCTCCCAGAAACAAACTTCGTATTGCAAAAGTGGTCTGAGCAGGACAGAATACCTCAAGAGCGCCAACTCCCGATTCACGTGCACGCTAAACATCCGATACAGCTGAAGGCTGGGGATACTTCTGTTTCCATAACATCATGCTGATTCACAATGAATTTCCATTCTACTGAAACCCAATTTCTTCTGCTTCTCCCATAGTCTATTCACTTCATCATCCCACTCTCCGCAGCATTTTTTCCAATGTGGCTCTCCTGCCTGCTCAGCTCAGACCCTGACTCACAACAGAGGCCATCGGCCACGAGCTCCCTCTTCTCTTCATCTCCCATTGCTTAGATGCCTTCGACCACTATCTCCTCCTTCACCTCTTGTCCTTGTCAAGGCTAACCCCTCTATCCATACAAGCTCTTCCACTCCCCGTCTTCCCCATTACGCTGATCCTTCAACCACTCCCCCTTCTCCACCTTCAGTCTCCTACTGGCCACAAACACGCCCATGTCTGCCCCATCCTGAAAAAACCCTCACTTGATCCATCTACCATGCTAGCCATCATCCTCTATCTCTCCTCCCATGGATGAGTAAGCTTGAAAAGACCATGTACCACAGAGGCTTCCTTCTTCCCTTCCCTTGCTCTCAACTCCCTACAGATATGTCCAACCTCATTATTCAACTGAATTCTCTCCAAAGTTACTAATGTCACAATTAGGCCAAATCCAATGGCCTTTTCCCAATCCTCATCCTTCTTCGCCTCCCTGCAGCCTTGAACACTGGCTGACCACTCTCTTCTCCCTAGGTACTTGTGACACTGTGCTCTCCTGGTTCTCCTCCTGTTCATGGGACCCTTCTTTCTCAGTTTCTTTTGCTGGGTCTTTCCCTAGCACACTCCCTTTCACCACCAGAGTCCCCCAAGGGTTTGTCCTGGGCTCTCTCTCCTGCTATACCCAGAGTAGACAAACTACTTCGCTGAGCTAAGAATAAATTTTTACATACTTAAAATAAGGTTTTATTGTATTTAAAAATGTACAAATCATTCTCAAGTGGGAGCCCATTTCGCTCTTTGTCCCTCCTGGATTCAACGATCAGCTCTGAAGAGCTGATTGTCTTGCCCTAAGCTCTCTGCTGACCTTCAGCCTCTCCCCTCTCCCTCCTCATCAGTAGATTGCTTCAGATATGCCTGTAACTCACCCGTCCTCTCCTCCAGCTTTGCGTACTTGGGAGTGTTGCACATGTTGCACTCGGATCTCCTGGCCCAATTCACGTTACTGCAACTTTAGAAAGGGAAGAAGAGCATGTAAGTAGACTGTAGTGGCATGTCACAAAAGACAGAGAAAATGGAGACAATTAAAGACAAAGAGAAAATTAAAAGTTGAGCTAATTTTTAGCACCATAAAGAATAACTTATTGAGGCAGAAAATTAAGAATGCTGACCTATTAGAGACTTGTGTCCGAGTTTTAGACAAGACAGGCAAACTTTTTAGCTACTAAAGGATGGAAAAATAATCTCTAACATAGACTGGGGTTTGTGGAAACAAAGACATCTTCACTTCAGAGAAAAAACCAACAAATTCTATGCTAGATGAGAGGATCCCTGAGGGACATTCCAATTTTAAGATTCTCTGATATATAATAAATTCAAAATATGGCTCAGTCTCTGAACTCATGCAAATCCATTAAGAACTTAAAACCTCAAGTTTCAAGTTTAGTGTGTGACAGCAATTCCCACATTAAATGTTTCAGCACCCGGTGTATGCTTCAAAACAGTGTAAGAATGGAAAACAACACTTTTTAGTATCCAAAACATCAGAAACTTATGCCAGCATCTTTTAATTCAAAACACTTATACTTGAGTGTGGGGGAAATGGAGCACAAAGCATTGGTCTATGGCGCCAAAGGTCGCTCGGGTTGTGGCTGCCTGCCTCAGAGCACTTTCACTCTGTCATACTGCCCCATGAGGGCAGAACTTCTAAAAAACCAAATTAAACCTTTGAAGAGTCTTCCACATAAATAGGAAAACAAACAAATGATACCAAACCTTTGGATGATAAAAGTAGAAGTTCTCTTAAATACTTCAGTGTGTCTAAGCATAATATCTTACAACTGGGAAGTGGCCTTGGAGACCATCTATCCCAGCCTTCATTTGATAATGAAGAATCAGCAAAAGGGAAGCAGAGTGATTTAAGATCAAAATGGCAGAGCTAGACCAAGCCCAGCTCTCCTGACTCCCAATCAGCCCAGTGATGTTCCATCTACCACACAAGGCTTTTATTCAAGTTTACTTTGTTATGGCCAATGTGTATGCTTACAGGCAAACATGTCCTATTAACAACTGACACGGGGCAAAGAAAAGAGAATTCAAAGGCCTTTTACACAACACTGAATTTTAGTTACCAATAAAATGACAACAGAACAAAGCCTTTTGGATTAAAAGGCTACTGTGGCCAATGAGACATTTATGAAAATCAGGGTGAATTTCTCCCTGAGCATGACATCTGATGTTTTTAACAGGAAAGATAGTCTTAAAACTGTGAGTATTCCCATGCATATTTGAAAAAGTTGGCTACACCAGTGATTAAGCTGTGATTCTACACCGCTGTCCCAGCAAAACACACACACACACACACACACACACACACACACACACACACACACGGTTGTGAAGTCAACACAAAAGAGTAATTCCTAAAGACTTACGTTTTACATTGCCAGTCATTGGCACTAAACAGGCCCCGGCTCTTCTCAGCCAGCGTCTTTCCAATTTCAGTCCCACCAGCTTTCATCATCTTGGCTTCAGTTGTTTTTTCTGCAGTAAAAGAATAAAGGCATGAAATGTGGAGAACTAGACAAAACTGTATATCTAGTCACAAGACGTTATCTGTATATTTACCTCGACCACACCGGTTACAACTGGTTCTTCTCGCAAAGTTTACGTTTCCACATCTAAAACAAAGTAAAACACATGTCAGAGAAATCCAGTCCACATTAAACATCATTTTTTATATACAGTACTACACGAAGAATCTTCCTAATAATCTTGTGATAAAAAATACTGGTTTTTGTTTTGTTTTTCAGCTGTGTCTGACTCTTCATAACCCCATTTGGGTTTTCTTGGCAAAGATATTGGAGTGGCTTGCCATTTCCTTCTCCAGCTCATTTTACAAATAAGTAAAGTGAGGCAGACAGAGTGAAGTGATTTGCCTAAGTTATACAGCTAGTAAGTGTCTGAGGTTAAATTTGAACTCAGGGAGACGAGTCTTCCTGACTCCAGGCCCAGCATTCTAACCATTATGCCACCTAGCTGCCTATTAGATTTAAAAATGTCCTATAAAGCAATAATTATAACTATCTGGTCTTAGAAGAAAAGAGAACTAGATCAATGGATGAGAACATACAGCCCAAAGTCATAAGTCAACAAGTATCTATCAAGTGTTTACTATGAGCCACGCCCGCCCCGTGCTAAGTGCTGAGGATACAAAGAAAGGCCTTGTGGGGCTTGGGGCCTACAAAGCATGTCATACACCACAGTAAGCTAACTGAATAAAGGAATGTGGATTTTTCCTCGTGCACGTGAAACACCTTGGTGGAGAGCTTGTAAGGCAGAATTCTGCTTTCTTGAATCAGTGCTATATCCCAGGAACTGGGCTAGATGTTGGGGATACTGGCATAAAGAATAAAACAATCCTTACTCTTAAGGAATTTACCTTCTAGTGAGGGAAATGCGTACATATAAAACATATACAAGGCATAAATATAAAGTGAATACAAATATAAACAAAATGGTTAAACACGACTTAGTGAGATTAAGATATGTGAGTATGTTTAAAGTACGTTGAACACGTGGATGCCAGTTACAGGCTCTTGGCATAATAAGGTTTGTGACATTCACAAGGGTCTGGTATCCCTCCCTCTTTCAGGTTCCTGGAGAAGCTGCCAGTGAATGCCAGGACTTCGCTACTTCCTGCACAGGCTTCTCCAGCTGCTTTGTTTTCCACTGCAGACCATGACAGGGAGGGTTCAAATAGGGTGTCTCAAGTGCTGCTGAGAAAACAAAAAAGCTCAACCTGAAATCCTGCCTTTCCACTCTTCCCTCTGGTTTCCTCTTCAAAGGCCCCGGATATGGCTCAGCTGAGTTTCTCACTGAGCCTCTGGCAAACCTGTTTTCCCTCTGATGCTTCTCCACAGTGAATGAAGTGATGCTTCCATCATCCACCATAAGAATTTGCAAACACATTTCTATTCTAAGCTGGGGTCACCTTTGGAAGCTCCCTCGGTGTCCTCAGAGCAAACGTTTGCTGGTTAAGACAGTTTTCCTAGTTCTTCTGATGCCTCTCTAAAGTGATTCCCTTAAATCCTAGGAAAGAGAGATAATCTGTGTCTATGTCTTTTCTTTGTCCACTACCCGTTTTTCTGTGTCAACAGCTTAAGTTGGACAGTCTGGAATGACCTCAGTGGTATACTAACATCATTTCATTTTTGTTCTTTCTTCTAATTTGGTATTGATTTTCATACCTGCTCTAAAAACTTAGTGGTCTGACCACAAAGCCAACTCGGAAATGGAAACCATTTCTTGTCAGTCAAAATATAATTTCATTTTGGGGATATTATGTGGAGTTTATCTAATGTTGTTTGTCATAATTTATGAAATATCAGAGTCACTTCTGCATTAGCTACAAGCCTTTGGCCTTTTTCCATTTTAGGCTTTTAACATCATTTTGCAGCCTTTTTTTGGGTCTGCCCTAATTCAAGTCTCTGCACAGTGCAGTCTATATTCACTCAATTTAGAGAATTTCTATCATATCATTTATAGAATTTCTCCATCTCTTTTTATGGAACATGTGATTTTCAGACAAATGCTTCTCATAAGTACTGCAAGATCAGATATCAGATCTCCCATGAAATGATCTTTCTTGGAATAAAATCAAGTATAACAAATCTACTTGCCTCTTCAAGGATAACTTGTGCAACTTCCTTTTGCTCCTGGTTCATTTACAAAGGGAATGAAAGGGAAGGGCTGGCACAATTCCATTCTAGTAATATATCCAATCACTCATCCTTGGACAAGTAACTCACACTTTGAGTACTGACAGCTAAGACGATGTTCTAGGCTGTTTCCAAACTGACTCCCAAGCACTCTCTTGGTCCCCTGAACCATGACTGTCAGTTACTCCAGAAACAGAAGGGACTCATATAGTCCATTTTCCTTTGATTGATGGGGTTTTCATGGTTGAAGAATTAATCACTAAGTATTGGGTCTGCTAGTTTCACTAAGCTGGTCCCTGGAAAGCTGTTTGGGACCAAACAGGAGACAGAGTTTGGTGCTGTACAAAGCCAGATCTGAATCAGGAACAATGAATGCAATTCTGGCCAACTGTTTCAAAACGCATCTGGAAGAGGACACTAATCCAATGAAAGGGGAAAGGGAACTGCTTGCAAAAAGAATCACAGAATAGTAAAACTGAAAGTATCCTTAAGAGATTCCCTAATCCAACTACCTTATTTTACAGATGATGAAACTGAGGCCCCTAAGTAGCGGACTTGGAATTGGACTAAAAAGAACAATAAAAGCAGCAACAACTCAAATTCCGGTGGAAGGAGCCCAAGAAAACAGGATTAGTAAATCTACAAAAGCGTGATTATGGGTTCTGTTGATATTGATTTTCTCCACCAAACTCCAAACACCAGAACAAGAGGGCCTTCAGTCTGAAAGGTAATTTTTCTCTACATTAAGTATAATTAAACGCCAATTAACTGAAATTCAGCTGTAGGATATTTCAATTTATCAAACTGAATGTACTCTACTTCTAAAAGGCTAAACCAACAGCAAACCAGCTTTCATGGCTCACCTTCTGGTCAGCCCATTGAGATCAATCCCTGGCACCGAAATCTACACTGCTGCACATCAAGAAGAATGCCTGAAAACTGTGGGGCAGTAAAACGAACAAAGTGTTTTCTACATAGTATTTAATGAAGGCGTTTAACGGGGCTAATACATGCTAGAGAGATTTTCAATAGGAGCAGAAATGAGGATTTTCTAGTTAACCCAGAATTAACCAAAAAAGTGAATTTCCAACCCAGGCCCTTTCCCAAATAGTCTGACTAATCAGATTTTATTATACTTATTCACATAGTAGGAACTATACTTGCAGAATTAATGAATTCTGCCACAAGGAATATAAATAGGACCAAAAAGTGTTTCTTAAGCACAATTAGGGACATTTAGGGGTTTATCCCAGGTCTTCCGAGGTAGACATAATAAAGGGTAAAGAGTACTCTACCTTGGCCCCTACAGAAATACTATGGAGAAGATGAAGTCCGGGTGCAGATTAACAGGCATTTTTGAAGTGCCTACTATGTGGAAAGCTCTATGATAGGAGCTAAAAAAGACGGAAACAAAAAAACGGCACTTGTTAGGTGTGTACCATGTTTGAGGCACTGGGCTAAAAGCTGGGGCTACAAATACAAAAAGTCAGGGAGTCCCTGGCCTCAAAGAGCTTACACTCGAAATATGGGAAGACAACGTAAATAGGTAGGAGCGGTCAAGGAGGGGTGTTCTGTTTTGTGAAGTCAGAGGGATGAGGATGGAAGTCATAGAATAATGGGGGGTGGGATGAGGGAGGTGAGGCTGCAACATGAAGGGAAGATGTTGGATGGATATAGCCTGGTGGGTCTGGCGCTCCTAGACAGGGTGGATTCTGGCAGGAACACAAACCAACAAGTGTGTGCCTAGGAATGGTCCCTGCCTCGAAAGAGCTTACATTCTACTGAAGGAGACAATCAGGTGAACAGGTGAGCATATAGATAACCTGAGGGGGATGGAAGGAGCTCAAAAGACAGCATGTGAACTGAGCCTTTTGAGGGAGCCAGGGATCTGAAGAGGCGGCAGGCGCTCAGAGGACCTTCCCAGCACGGGGGGTCGGGGCAGGCTGAGGAAGGGCACAGAGGCGAGAGAAGGGAACATCAAGGAGGACTGGTGGCTGAAAGACAGCTTAGAGAGCAGGGAAGTAACCTGCAACTGGTGTTGGGAGTCCTTTCCACTTCTAAAATTCTGTGATTCACTCAAGGATCAGATTTAATGATACAGGAATAGTGTGTGGGCAGAGGACAGATTAGAGAGGGGCAGAACAGAAGCTGGGCAGCTAGGTGGTCCAATGGATAGAGCGCCCAGCCTTAGACACTTCCAACTGTGTGACCCTGGGCAAGTCACTTATCCCTGCTTGCTTCAGTTTCCTCATCTGCCAAGCGAGCTGGAGAAATAAAGGGCAAACCACTCCAGTATCTTTGCCAAGAAAACCCCAAACGGGATCACAAAGAGTCAGGCACGACTGAATACGGGCCAAAAACAGGCAGAGCCACATGGGCAGAGAAAAGACCACGGGTATGGAGAGAGAGGCGTGTGAGATAGGATTTCCCATGTCTTACGTTCTTACATTTAGCTAAGATTTTAAACTTACTGTAGTTAAAAAAAAAAAAGTTGGCTTTAACAGCTCTACCTAGAGGATTTTCGCCCCCCACTGGCTGTGTGTGAAATGCACCAAGCAGATGGCCCTTCATTCACTACTTCAGTTCAACAGTTAGGTGGCAAACTTTCTGAGAATTTCTCCTGACCAATACTTTGTGTATCACTTTGGACAATTCACACCCATTATCTGCAGATGAAAAGACGGCAGGGACACACAGGGAAAGAATGGCGGTCTCTGAGGTGGGGAACTGGGTTCAAATCCTAGCTATGTCTACTGACGACCACCTGAATCACTTCATCTCATCGACTCAGTTTATTCATTTCTAAAACGGGGGGGGGGGGGGGGGGGGGGGAGGGCGGCGGAACTTGGATGGGAAACAAACTCCTCTACACTCTCACTACCCTCCAAGTGAGAGGGAGCCCGTCTTTCAGCAGCGCACGCAGGCAATGAACATCGCGGGAAGGGGCCCAGGGGCCCACAAAGAGGCTTCGGACTCGACGATCCTGAACCTCTGCCGTCCTAACACATCCGGAAGGCAAGCACGCACAAATGCTCAGACCAGCCCCCCTTAACAGAAGAGGGCCTTGAACGCCGCGCTCGAGGCGGCCCGCGGCTCGTTTTAGTCCGATTGTTAGAGGAAGGGGGCGGCATCTGCACGGCCCAAAGGGCCTCACACGCTCACACTCACTCGTGCAGCACGGACCGCAGGCCCCCCGCACCCCGGCCCACGCCCGGCTCCGCAGGCGTCCCGAACGGGAAGCGGTTTACGATCCGCCCTGTGGCCGGAGTCGCCCCTCGGGGGGAGGGTCCGAGGGGGCGCAGGCCGGGCCGGCAAAGTTTACACGACGTAGCCGCGGCCCAACGAGCCCCCTCCGGCCCCTCCTCCCGGAGGGCGGCTCGCGGCCGCGGGGCACACGGCAGGCGCTTAATTCTTGCTGGTCCCGACCTCGTCTCACACCCGCAAGGCCGAGAGCAGGAGGCCGCGTCGGGAGGACAATGGTCCCTCCGAGGCGGCTACGGGGGTCGTGGGCCACGTGACCGGAGCGGCGCGGCCGCCCCTCACGCCTCAGTTTCCTCGCCTGTAAAATAAGGCGCGCTCCCCTGGCCCCCACCCCCCTCGGGAGCCCCCGGGCCGGATGGTGTTCGCCCGCAGTGAGGAAGGCCGGGCCTGGCCCCGAGGGCGCCCACCCGCTCCCTCCCCCGGCCCGGCGCCGCCGAGGCCCCAGAAGAGCGTGCCCGCCCGGCCCAGGCCGCCGCCGCCGCATCACTCACTTTTTATCGGGGCAAATCCAGTCGCCGTCGCTGACTCGGAAGTTCTTGGTTGACATCGTGGCCGCTCCCGCCGCCGCTGCTGCCGCTGCTGCTGCCACCTCCACCTCTCCCCCTCCTCTTCCTCGGCCGCCGCCGCTGCGCCAGGACCCCAGGAAGCCGGCCGGGGGCCTGACACAGCTCTAGGGCTGTCCGCCCCACGCCTGACTCGGGCTCGCCGCCGCTCGAGGCCTGCTGTGGGGATCTCCGGCGCGCCGCAGGCGGACACGCGGCCGGCAGGAAGGGGGCTGGTGCGGCTTGTGAGTCGACCCCCAGAAAAGAAGGATTTTATGTTCTTTTCTTCGGCGGAGGAGACAGGCAACGCCGCGGACAGCCCGCAGGGGAGAGCGCCGTGGCGCCGTGAGCGCGGGGCAGGCGCGCACTGCCACCTAGGGGACCGGAAGACTGTCAGAGGAAAGTCCTCCCCATCCCCCGGGCGCGGGGTGAGGGATGGGCTTCTCTGGTTCCGGCTCGCCGGAAGAAGGATGGGCGATACCAATGTTGCGCGGCGGGGGGTGTAAAAGGCTGGGAAGGGGTGGACCATTCCACTTGCGCGGGCTGAGGGGGGGAGACACAAGTGTCATCTCCTCGCTGGTGCACACGTGTGTCTCTAGAATGTCACCTCCTGGAACGTCAGGGCGTGTCATCCCCTTCATGGTGACCCCTCCCCCACGCAGGGTCACACACCTAGTGGATGTGAAGATCCCTAAGAGTGGTGGAGGGAGGGAAGGAAGGAGAATGAATGAATGAGTGGGTGAATGAGTACGTGAGTGAATGAATGAGAATGAAGGAATGGATGAGTGAGAAAACACATGTAAATGAACAAATGAATTAAACAGGAATGAATGGATGAGTGAGTGAATGAATGAATGAGGAGAGAACAAATGAACACATGGAAATGAACAAATGAATTAAACCAAGGAATGAGTGAGTAAATGAATGAGGGGCAGCCTGGTGTGGCTCCTCCATGCCTTTCTCTGAAGAAATGACCAGCACAACTCAGCACCGGGAACCCCATAGCTATTTTAAATCGGTAATTTTAAACTAGGGTAAGTGCATAGATCTTGTGCAAACTTGGGAACTGAAAACCAAAGAGGGAGTTCTTGAATCATTCTAAAGTATTGATAACAATAGCCTTTGAATTTGCAGAGCACTTTACCTGCGTTACCTCATTTGATTCTTGGCAGAGGTACAATAATTAGCCCCATTTCACAGATGAGGACACTGAGGCAAATAGGTTAAATGAAGTAAAAAGATGTTAGCGCCTTTTAAATTCTTCCTTCTGCTTCATCCTGGCTGGGTCTTTCCCAGCTTTTGAAGTGCTCTTACCCAGACTTCCAGGACTTTGTGTGGCTGAGATTCCCAAAATGAAAACCTCCCTGCCCCATCACTGAGTGTTTGTAGGAGACGCCCTGCTTTTGTGAGCAGATGCCAAGCAGTCCTGCTGGATGTGGAGCAGTGCTGAATCTAGGCTCTGGTAAAAACCAGAGGGAAAGGAATGGCTGCCACGGGGGCAGCTCTGTGACCTCCTTGATGGGGGGTATCTCTGCCGCTGTGCCCATGGACCCCCATCCACCCCTCCTGTGATTCTGCCTTCTTTTCCAGTCATTTGTTTCTCTGGTAACATCCTTCATGGACATGTACCTTCTTCAAAACCAGGGTAAGAAAACTTAAGGAGATACAGAGGGGAGGAGACGCTCCAGGAAGGAAGAGAGGACAGTGGTCTAAAGGTCAGATGTCCAGGCTCAGAGTCAGGAGGTCAGAGTTCACTGTGCCATGTGGCCTGTCCTGGGACCTGACCTCTGGAAAACTTCTGAATGTCTCTGACCTGATTTCTCAGATTCACCGAGTCCCAGAGCTGAGAGGTGTGCTTGGAGTCAGAACTCGCTCAGCCAATGACTTAGCCGTGTGACCCTGAAAAAGTTCCTTACCTCACCCTACACCTAGGGGTCTGTGCTGTGTTAAGTGAGGATGATACCAGTCCCTGGGTAGTGGTGAAGATGAAATGTGTGTATGCATGTTTGCATGTATGTTGTACATAGATATAGCATATGGTCGTCATGTCATAGCACATCAATACATATGCACACACATGTGTGTATGCGTCTATACATACATAGGAAGTTGTGGAGATAAAATGAGATGATCAGCAAGCCAATGTGGGCAAACAAGTTCTGGATGGAACAAATAATGATCTGAGGGAAGGCACTGGGATGAAAAGCATGGAGAAGGCTTCCTGTAGAAGGTGGGAGTCTAGCTGGGAGATGAAGGAAGCCAGGGAGGCAGCCAGGAGGTAGAGGTGAATGCAGGGAGAGATTGAGAACTCTGACTCCATGGAGTTCAGAACAGCATCTTGGACTTTTGGTTTTTACCTGGGTAAGAAGAGACTTAGGGGGACCTGAGTATATTTGCAGGGGCTTCATGTGGAAGGAGGATTAGGCTTGTTCTTGGCCCTAAGCACAGAGTTAGGTACAGGGGTTAAAGCTGCCAAGCCTTTGCCGTCCTTGCAGGGAGAAACGCCCTGACTTGGAGGTGTCTGGAAGCAGAGCGGGCTGCCCTGGGAGCTAGCATCCCTGCCCTCACCCTGCTGATGCCAAGGGGAAGCTGGAGAAGAATGCCCAGGGTGGGGATTTGTGACCTTCGAGGCCTCTGAGCCCTCTCCTGGATATTCTTCCAGTTATAATAAGGGTCTGGCTCTGTTCTCCCGACGCACCCACAGACTTCTGGCTGGTGGTTTGTCTAGGGCTGTCATTTATAGGGCCTGTCGTTGTTCAAGGCTTCTCTTTGCTCCACCGTGGGTGAGGCCTACCCTGCCACAGCAGGGGTGATTTACTGGGCGGCCGGCCGTCCTTCTGAGGAGTCACACCCGTGCTCTGGCCGCTTGCTGAGGGGCAGGCACCATCACCCTGTGGCCTACGTCCCCCCGAAAGGGGCCAGAGCAAGGGTCTGACTCTGGGGGAGGTGCTTCTGTTTAGTAAATCAGGGCTCCCTTTTGGGAAGAATACTAAGCTCCTTCTCCCCTCTTCTCATTCCCTTTTTGGGAAAATATTAAGAAATAATATTATTCCAGTCTAAATTACTTTTGGACTTGTCAGAAAAAAATAATGTTGATTTGACTGATACTCAATCAAATTCTAAGAAGTGTCCTACTTTAGTCAGTCAGTGAACAAACACTGATTAAGCACCTAGTATGTGCCAGGCACTGTGCTCAGTGCCAGGAATACAAAGAAGGGCCAAAGACAGCCCTGCCCTCAAGGAGCTTGGGGAGCCAATCCATAAAAGGGAGCTAAAGGTCGGGGGAAGAGGAGGTAGTAGGCCAAGGCAGAGATAGCTACTGAGGAGGGTGTGAGTATCAGGGTGGACTTTAAACTGAGCACCAACTTTCAGCTTTTCTGGTGCAAGTTTGAGTGAGGCCGCAGCTCAAACCCTGGTCGCTTGGCAGTAGCTACTTATTTACTTATTTATTCAATAAACATTAATTTGAGCACCTCCTATACATGTAGTGCCTGGTACCAGGCACTGAAGAAGATAAAATGAGGGATAAGATTGAGCACCTACCCTCATTAAAGCTTATAATCTAGAGGGAAGATGAGACAGGTATAAAAAGAGCAGCACTTCCCCCCTCCCCCCTGAAAACGCGTGTGCTGATACCTTAATAAAAAAAAAAGTTTTAAAAAAAATCCCAACACGTATAATTCAAATGTTTTGTAAAAAATTTTATTTTAAATTCCCTTGAAGTGGAATCCACTGCTGGGTGAAATGAGAAATGACACACTTCCATTGTGTAACCTCAATGTGTCCTCACGTCTCTGGAGTCACCCTGGCTATTGATCTGTGTCTCTTTGCCACTGAAGGGAATTGTAAGTGGGGAGGGTATTTTGTAACAAGACTAAGGACAGAAGACTGACTTGGGCCTTTATCAAGATGCGCCCTCTCTTCTCTTGACTCTGGCCTTAAGCTTCTACGTTGAAACTGCTGGTGGTTTTTTGAGTAGTGTGCCAATAACATTAATCATTTACTAGGAGGTGCATCGTGAGGGGAGCAGAGACTCTGTGGCCCCGCCCCATGGGTGACAGCAGGCTGAGGGCCAGCTAAGTTCAAGGACAGAGCCAGGATAAAGCAGCACTGCAATTAACAATTGCAAGTCGATTTAATATTTCATTCATTTATTCATTCAACAAGCATTTGTTCATTCCTTTCATGTGTCTGTGATTAACAAATATTTTTTGATTGAGTCAATTAATTTATTGAGCCCCAAAGTATAATGTTAAACCTGTAATAAGAGGGACATAAGGACCCCATTGCTTCGAAATAATATGAAATTACTTCAGGCTGAATACATAAGGGAAGTCTTTGGTGGAGCCTTTGCTGTGCCTTGGAGGATCGGGTGGGATTCTGTGGGCACAGTTAGAGGGGAAAGCACCCAAGGTTAGAAAATAGTATGGGTGGCTTGTATATGGAGATATAGGGGCTTTGCCTCAGGATTTGGGGATTTCAAGAGGGTGCTGATGGCTCAAGTCCTTTTACAGTGCAGAAATGGTACAGGATTTAGCAAGAATAATTAAAAACATTATTAAGTTCTTACTATGTGCCAAGCACTGTGTTAAGTGATGAGGGATGGGAATACAAAGGCAAAGACAATCCCTGGTACCCTCAGTGAACTTACCTTCTAATGGGAGGACTGCAGACCAAGAGAAGTGGGCTACACACAGTGACACGTTGGTGTAGAAATCCACAGTGTTGGGGGTGTGTGTGTGTGTGTGTGTGTGTGTGTGTGTTGTGTGTGTGTGTGTGTGTGCATCAGGAAGTAAATCGACACTATTTGAGGCCAAAGACGTAGACGATGGCTGTGGTTCATGGACTAATAAAGTGGAACCAAAGTGTAGGAGAGCGAAAATAGTTTCCAAAGGGGCTAGAAAGGTAGGTTGAGACCAGGTTCTGAACGACTTTAAGTGCTAACCAGAGGAAAATGTATCTGATCTTTGACGTAATTGGGAGCTACCAGAGTTTCTTGAGTAGGAAAGGGACGTGGCTAGCGTTGAACTTGGGGAAATGATTTTGGCAGCTGGATGGAGGATGAATTGTAGTGGGGGAATGCTATTGCAAC